AAATCAGCCCCCAGAGGGGATGGCAACACTGCAATCCCTTCTGTTCCATTTTCCTCTCAGGATTTTGGTCACACACACACAGGCACCTAGCGTGTTTCTCAAGTCGCCAGTCTGGGTCTTAAATCACATACTTGGCCATGTGGGATTCAGTCGCCTTAACCACCACACCACCTGACTGGCCCTGAAGATAATTTTCCATCCTAGTGGAGGGGAGACAGTAGTTGTTATGAACTAGCTTAACATTAAGGAATGAACAAATCTCCTTTTTCTTTCTTTATTTAGAGTAAGCACATGAGTTTAATAAAATGAGTTTATTTTTGTGTAAACATTTTGAAATCCATGCGTGTTTTTTCATGATACACATTTTCCATGAATTATGGCAAAATGCTACCAACTAAAAAGTCCTGACTGGGGCCAGCAGGTGGTATAGTGGTTAAAGGGGCTGGACTCCCACATGGCTGACCATAGTTCAAGTTCTGGACCAGGTGGCTTGCTTTCTCACTTTCTCTGTCTCTCTCTGGTCAAATTAAAAATACTAATAAATGAAGTTAAGTAAAATAATTCTGAAAAAAAAAATGTCTAGGTTAAGAGGACATGGTAATCACTGCACACTGCTCCTTCAACCTTTCTGCATGTTTAATTCTAGGGAAAAAGGGATTTAAAAAAAAAAAAAAAAAGATAAAACTGTGAACAGGCCAAAAGACAGGGACCAGCAGATGGAGTAATGGCTATGTCACTGGACTCCCATGTAGTCGACTGCGGTTCAAGTCCCGGACCCAGTGGCTTAAACTCACACTGGGCACGTGTGCATGTGTGCCCAAGATCCGGAAGGAGAGTGGAGGAGAAGGGATTGTGGCGTGGCCATCTCCCCTGGGGGTGATTTTTCACTTTCTGTCTCTCTCTGTCTTTCTGGCAGGCACACACACCCTATAGCTAAAACCTCTCAAAAAAAACAAAACAAAAAGACAATTCAAAACAGAAATCAGTCAAATACATGCAAAATTTTCACCCTTATTAGTAATTGGAGATATATAACCAAACAATTATTAAATTTGTAAAACTTATTTGAAAAGCAAAAACTGAATGTTGGTACTTCAAATACTTCCAGGTTGCAGAGAGAGGGAGAAAACCAAAACAAGAAAGAGAGGTCACCAGGACGAGCACATGGCATTATGGTTACATCACTGGACTCCCACATGGCCAACAGCAAATTCGAGTCCTAGACCTGGAAGCTTGAAACTCACACCAAGTACGTGTGCATGCGTGCCCAAAATCCCAAGAGGAGAATGGAGGAGAAGGGACTGTAGCATGGCCATCCCCCCGAGGGGTGATTTCTCTCTTTCTGTCTGTCTCTCTGGTGAACAAATGCACCCTACTGCAAAAACCTCTCTTGGGAGAGGGGGGGAGGGGGAGAGAAAAAGAGAAGAGGTCGCTGATTTTCTAGTCACTTTGAGTTCGGCTTTAACTACTAAAACTGAGACCCCAGATTCAGGGTCCCCAGACTCCACACATTAAATCTCCTTAATTAAGTTAGTGTTTTGCCACCAAACAATCTCCTAAGTAACAGCTGGTTTAGGACTGTTGGATTAAAGAGAGTTATTTTGTTCACTCTGTTTTTGACACCTCTGTAATATGATGTTACTTCTACAATTACAATTTTTAATGAGCCAAGAGACAACAGACTTTGGAAGGGGCTATTCATCATGGAGAATTAACTATAAACATGTTTAACGACTCATCAATTACAAGCCGACAAAGCCCACTCATCTACTCTGCATAGAGGACAAGTCTCATGGATGATGCAAGAAGCAGTAGCATTATGGAGACCAGTAGGTGATGTGGTGGTTAAGGAACTAGACACACCCACATGGCTGACCACAGTTCGGGTCCCAGACCTGGTGGCTTTCTTTCTCTCTGTCTCTCTCTGGTCAAATTTAAATGAATGAATGAATGAATGAATGAAGGGACCAGCAGCTGGCGTAATGGCTATGTTGCTGGACTCCCATGTAGCCAACTGTGGTATGAGTCCCAGACCCAGTGGCTTAAACTCACGCCAGGCACGTGTGCGTGCATGCCCAATTCTCCTGAGAGGGGAATGGAGGAGAAGGGATTGCGGGTGATTTCTTGCTTTCTGTCTCTCTCTGTCTTTCCGGCGAGCGCACATGCCCTATAGCAAACCACACACCCCCCGCCCCCCCCAAAAAAAAGAATGAATGAATGAATAAAATTAAATAAATAATTTTTTAAAAAAAGGGCAGCTATATTGAAGTTGGTCACAGAGTACAGTGAGGAGACCTTGAACCTGAGTCCTAGAGACCTAGGCCTGCATCTTGCTTTCTAGCCCTGAACTCAGTAATGACCATCAGTGTCGCCTCATCTACAAAAGAGGACTAATGAGCTCTGTCTCGTATCACAGCGGTTAGGACAAAGGTAAACAGTGTCCCCTTCCCATGAAGTACACTTGTGCTCAGTGGAGGCAAACAGTGAGAAGGAGGTTATGGAGAGACTTAATCTCCCGGCATGAAGACCACCTTCCTGAGTGGTCCTACCCATTCTCCCAGACAGCACGCCAAGCTCCAACTGGAATGCACCGTCCAAGACTAACCCCATCCAGCCCCACAGCTGCTCCTGCCTCCAGGGTTTCTGCTTCAACAAATGGCACCCCCTAATCCCAGAGTTTAGCAACCTGGGCTCCAGGAGGGCAAGAACCCTGATGTCCTGTCAGCACTGTCTCCCAAGTCCTGGAAAATGTCAAGCACCCAGTGGAAGTCAACAGACATTAGATGAATTTTTTGTTCCTCCCTCTCTGTCACTTACAGTCATCAAGACCTGCCAATCCTGCCTCCTGAGTAATTTTTAAGCCAATTATGTGACTTAACATAATTTACTGTCCAAATTTGCTTCATCAAAATAAAGCTTTATGATCCAGTGACTTTTAACAAATATTTCTGAGAGCCTGGTATTTAGCATGTGAGTGCTCATAAAGAAGGGTACAGAGGAGGCCTCGAGAGGGACAGGAGCTTTGTAAGTGTCTCCAAGTAGACAGGATGGAGGGGTGAACCCAATGTACAAGTGTGTAATCCATTTCTGCAGACCAGGGATAAATTCAGGTACCATTTTTGTAAAGGGCTGATAATAATAGAACCTTGGAGAATGCACATTTGGAAACAGAAAGAAAACAACAAAGGAGAACCAAAATCGAAAGATGTCACTGACACCCAGGAAGAGAGCCCTTCAGAAATGACTGAATGGCAGAAGGTCCAAAGCCGCAGTGGTTTGCTAGGAAAAGCAGAAGGAAGACCACCCGACTTGGCAATAAGGAAGCCACTTGTCAAGTTGGGGAACTAGAAATAAAGTTCCACTTACAAGGGGTTACGGACTAAGCAAGTGTGACAATCTACTCCCTAAACAAATAGAATCCCTTCTGTACCAGGCCATGTCAAAATAACAGATTGGAATACTAAGATCTGCAGAGTTCATTTCATGCTGCCTCAGCTACGTGGCAATACAAAAAGTTAAGTATGTGCTCATCCAATCATTTTATTGGGGCAGCAGTACATACTACAAAGAAAAGTACTAAGAGTGCATGAAGGTCTTGCCTAATGCAGGTGTGTGTGAGCCACGCAGCCCATAGGAGGGCACGGGGCACGGTCATGGCAGGAGTGCTGCATGGCAAAAGCTGCTTCTGCAGTTCAGTCTCTGTGCTGTCGAGAGTGCTAAACTTTCAAAGTAAATAATCTCGGGACCAGCAGATGGCATAATGGTTACATGGCTGGACTGCCACATAGTCAACTGCGGTCCGAGTCCCAGACCCAATGGCTTAAAACGGACGCGCATGCACACGTGCCTAAAACCCCAAGAGGAGAGTGGAGGAGAAGAGGCTGCAGCGTGGCCATCCCCTCTGGGGGGATGACTTCTCACTTTCTCTCTCTCTCCAGCACACAGCAAAAATCTCTCAAAAAAATATAATAAGGGAACCAGCAGTTAGCGTAATGGCTATGTCGCTGGACTCCCACATAGTCGACCACGGTTCGCATCCCAGACCCAGTGGCTTAAAACTCATGTCGGGCACATGTGTGTGTGTGCCCAAGATCTCAAGAGGAGAATGGAGGGGAAGGGATTGTAGCGTGACCATCCCGTCTGGGGGGTGATTTCTCGCTTTCTGTCTCTATGTCTCTGGCTGGCTGGCAAGCGCACGCGCCCTATAGCGAAAAAAAACCTCTCCAAAATAATAATAATAATAATAATAAAGTAAATGATCTCCATATCTGGCCATAATCCAGTGATTCTGACCAGACTTAACCTCCCACTAGGAAACTGGGCAGAACATGTGAAACCAGGGTTTGCAGATGCTGAACATGAGGCAACAACAGTTTGTCCCTCAAGAAGAGAAGACCAAGGGAGCACTATGACTGCTCTGGCTTTCTGCCAGGAGGAACTTTCTAGACCACAGTAAACAGATCACAACAGTCCTGCTGAGTTAAGCAGCCAGAAACTAGGGTTCAGAGAAGTGGAAGCAGCTAGAACTTGCAGGGCAGAGAAGGAGAAAAAAGGCTTCTGAGCTCTGCAGAGGGGTCCTGGGAGTCTGCTGCTGAATGCACAGGGCAGCTTTCCATGGCAAAGAGTTATCAGGCCCAGAATGTCAGTAGAGTCACTGTCAGGAATCCTAAGCTATTCTAACCTTTCTTCAAGCCTTAAAGAGATCAAACTGGGGACCGATCAGTAGTTAACATAATGGTTATGTCACTGAACTCCCATGTAGTCGACCACGGTTTGAGTCCCGGACCCGGTGGCTTAAACTCACACCGGGCGCGTGTGCATGAGTGCCCAAGATCCCTAGAGGAGAATGGAGGAGAAGGGATTGCGGTGTGGCCATCCCAACTGGTGGGGTGATTTCTCGCTTTCTGTCTATCTCTGTCTTTCCAGCGAGCACACACACCCTATAGTAATAACCTCTCCAAAAAATTTAAAAAGATCAAACTGAACTACAAGCAACTCTACTGCATGCCAATGCTTTTTTAAAAGGAAGACAAGACCAGCCCCACGCTTGCTGATTGAGGGTGCCAGATGCCAGATGGCCGACCCATGGTTCTAATCTCGGCCACAGTGACTTGAAAGACATGAGAGGTAGATGTATGTGCATGCCCAAGGTCCTGATGGCAGGGCGAGGTGGAGGAGATGGGATTGTGGCATGACTGTGCCTCACTGGGGGCGGTGCTTTCTCCCTTTCCCTCTTTCTCTTTAGTGAGTGCACATGCCTTCTGGCAATTAAAAAAGAAAACAAAATCCAGCATGCAACAATGAAAAATCCCCAATAGCCACAGCACCCAAATAAAACGTAATAGAAGTACAAAGAAGAAAAAATGACCCAAAACCAGGATAAAAATTAGTCAACAGAACAAACCCAGAAACATAGCCATGGTAGAAACAGAACATAAGCACATTAAAACAGTTAAAATAAATGTTAAGTATTCAATGGGAAAGTGTCCAGAATGCTGACGGTCTGAAGGCCTGGGGGAAGGGGGTCATAGTATGTCTATTTCTCTTTCTTTATCTAATGTAAGTGTGCATGTACATGCACTATCATAAATAAAAACTTAAAAAAAATAAAATAAAATCAGGGGCCAGCAGGTGGTGTGGTAGTTGGGGCCCTGGACTCCCACCTGGCCTCATGTCTTGGACCTACAGGCTTGCTTTCTCTCCCTCTCTCTCTCGTAAGCACATGTGCCCTGTAACAAATTTTCAAAAATAATGATAAATAAAATTAATAATTCTTTTAGAAAAATCAAATGGGGGACCAGAACATGGCATAATGGTTACCTCACTGGACTCCCACATAGTTGACTACGGTTCGAGTCTCAGACCAGGCAATTTAAAACTAACTCTAGGCACATGTGTGTGCATGTCCAAGATCCCAAGAGGAAAATGGAGGAGAAGGGATTGTCTTGTGGACATCCCCCAGGGGGGTGGTTTCTCACTCTCTGTCTCTCTTTCTCTGGTAAACACACGTGCTCTATAGCAAACATTTCTTTAAAAAAAAAAAAATCAAATGGAAGTTTTAGAATGATAGAATACCAGAAATGAAAAATTCACTAGACATATTTAACAGATTAGACACTGCAAAAGAAAAGCTCAGTGAATGTAAAGAGATATCCAAGAAACTATCCCTATCAATAGGTGAAGGAGTAAATTATGGTACATATGCACACTAGAATGATGCTCAGCAATAGAAAAGAATGAATTTTTTATATAGAACAACATGGACGAGTCTCAAGAACATTATATACTATGTAAAAGAAAGCAGATGCAAAAGCCATTATTCTACTTAAAATTCTAGGAAAAGTAAATCTAGTCTATAAGTAAGAAAATATATCACTGGGTGCCTGGAACCAAGAATATGGGAAGTTGACTGTAAAGGGTCACAAAAATCTTTTGGGGGGCATGACGGAGATGTGTTATTATTTCAATTGTGATGGTTATAAGCATGTCTATATTTGTCAAATCTCATCAAATTATGCACTTGAATTGGGTATGTTCCTTTTATGTAAACCAAATAAATGATGTTGACTTTTAAATGCCATAATGATGATTTGTAGACTTTTTAACATTTATGTCATGTTTTAAAAATAGAGCCAGTCCTGTGGCAGCTGGGCCATATACAGAAGAAGCCCGATCTCATCTAGCCCACAAGGGTTTGAATCCCAGCTCCAGTGGCTTCACACTGGGCACATACACATGCACACACAGGATTACCGGGCCCCACTGGGAGGTGCTCTTGTTATCTCTCACGTGCACTCACACGCTCTTTAGCATGAATAAAAATAGACTTAAAAATAAAGAGGCCACTATTCCCTTATTTTGTTCATGTTTCAGATTCTTCATAAAGATGTTTTAACTGGGAGAGAAATGTTGACCTTAGATAGATGATTCAGTTTTAAAATACTGTGTTTTTAAAAAATAGTTATACCGGGACCAGCTGTTGGCATAATGGCTATGTCGCTGGACTCCCATGTAGTTGGCTTAAACTCACACCAGGCGCGTGTGTGTGTGCATGTCCAAGATCCCAAGAGGAGAATGGAGAAGGGGTTGCGGCATGACCATCTTCCCTGGGGGGTGATTTCTTACTTTCTGTCTCTCTATCTATCTCTTTCTGGCAAGCTCACGTGCCCTATAGCAAAAACCTCTCAAAAAAAAAGTAGTGATATCTACAACCTCACCACACAAGGTATTTTAACCAATCTTTCAACTCTGGTCTCCAAGTACCAAAGGCATACAAAATCTTAGAAGCCTGAATCAGAACTCCTAGACTGTAAAAAATATTCTGGAAAACTTCAGAGACGGTGCTATAGCGGGAAACCTCTGAGGCTATACGCTGAGGCAAGAGGTCAGGACTAAGAAAACTGCTTTCTACAACTTAGTTCACTTCTGTCTGACGAACCCTGAAGAATTGAGCCATACCAGAATTCCAGCTTGCTTAAAGCAAAAGGAGGTTCTGTCACTGCTGCTGCACTTGACCAACTCTGGTTACAGGTGATTTGTTTCAACTAGTGGAAAAATAAACATCAAGAAAAAGCAAAGTACTTGTGCTAAGAGCCACCACACAAAGAGGCACCTTTCTCTGTAGTGACCTGCATTTATTCCAGGTAACTAAAATAAGCCTTTGCTTCTCTCCTAAAAAGCAAGCAAAGCCTCCCACACCGGATCTCACCTGGCCCTATGGTCACCTCAGTGGAATGCTTGTTGATAACTTTTATCTTATCACTGAAGCCATTTTTCTCCACGATCTTCACAGCAGCATCAGCCATAGGCTTGAAAACCTAGAAATTAGAGCCAAACCCAAGGAAAAATAAACAACAAATTAAGTATCCTAACACCCAAAGTTAGCAAGATAATCTTTGATTCTGGTCCTATGATTTGTAACTCAAACACTTTATTCCCCAAATGCGTGTCAAGAAAATGAACATAAAGGATATGATTCAGTTAAATCTAACTTGCGGTTAGGAGTTCCCGTGAGAGTTCATGCCCACCCCAGTAAGGGTGCAGATCTGTGGAGGTCGCACTAACTAGTAAAGACAGTAGATGGCAGTGTTGTGCTTAAAAGGCGCTAAAGGGCAGGAAAGGGACTTGCCTCACTAATTCGCCTGTCTGCTGGGCTTTCTAGAAGACAAGGCTGTTTGTTACAGTGTCAAATTAAGTGTGAGGTCAACACCCTGCTCAAAACCATCCCAAGTCCCCACAGCTGGCAGAGCACTGCCTGTATTCCCTTACAGTACTGGAAGCCCTTCACAATACAGACCTTTCCAGCCTTACTCTTCGTCTTGCCACACAAGCAATGCTCCAGCCATGCTGATCTCACCATTCATGAGGCAAGCCTGAGCCTTCCCAGTCCTAACCACACCTGCCCAATCAAACCAACTTTCCCAGGACAGCATGAATCCCCCCTCTCCAGATGTCTTCCCTGAAACCTTCTCTAAACATGAGCCCCCACCAACTCTTACTTTCCTAACTACCCAGTTTTGATTCCACAATTCCAACTGCTTTACTGCCTAAAACACATTCACATGTGGCCACACACACTGAGGGGAACTATAATAAAATGGCAGTGTCATGATGTCAAGATGTGCATTTTTTCTTAATCCTTTTCTGTATTTTCACATTTCTTACCATGAACATATACCTATAATTATTATTTTTTTAAAGTCTGCTATAAAGAGTGTGCACTCACTGGAGAGACAGAGCAAACTAAAGAGAGGGAAAGTAAGACATCACTCCCTGGGGGGATGATACGCAGCAATCCCTTCTCCTCCATTATGCTCCTGGGATTTTAAGTATGCACACACATGTGCCTGGTGTGTTTTCCAAGCTGCCAAGTCTGGAACTCAAGCTGTGTAGTTGGCCAACGCCTTAACCACCATGCCACCTGCTGACCCCTGAACACATATTTCTTACTATAATCAAGGGGAAATGCTATGTCCTTTTGTAAATGATACATACGTGCTTGACTTTAAAAAATCTTCATAATTTATATCAAATTATTTCAAGACAAGCATGATGTCTTCAGATATGATTTGAAGGCTTCAAACCCTCAGTTCTCACTGCTTCCACCCCTGGAAGTATCACAGCCTCAGGGCCAGCCCCTCACTCTTGCTGCCTTCTGGCCATCGCCCACCTCCTCCTGACTCCTCAGGCTCTGACCAGTCACTGCCTCCTCTTTGCCCAGCCAAGAAGCCCAAGACTTCATCCAAAACACCACCAAGAATCAACCCTGAAGCTGACTTCCGATATCCATTCTGTGTCTTCTTATTCCCTCAAGGCAGGTGCAGTGGTGCATGTGGGAACTGACTCTTTTAAAATCACACCTGTCTGTCTAGGGGTAACTGAACCCCTCTTGCCAGGGACAACATGAGGAATGACAGCTAACCCCATTCTGACCAGTGCAACTGAGGAGAGGCTCGGTAGAAATTCCTGGAGAAGTTCTTCCCATTCTTAAAAAAGAAAAAGAAAGTGAGGAAGCTGGAACCACGCTGTTCTGCTGGACACGTCCCAGTGGCCCTTCGCAGTTCTGTTGGTACCACAAGGCACCAGTCAGGGGAGGAAGATGGTGTGTGAAGGGTGGAGCAGAGGACTCAGGGTATCAGACACTCCTGAACTTCTTTTTTTATCTTTTAAGAGAGAGATATTTTCCTATAGAATGCGTGTATTCACCAGAGATACAGAGATAGACAGAGAAACAGAAAGTGAGAAATCACCCCACAGGGAGGATGGCCACGCCACAATCCCTTCTCCTCCATTCTCCTCTCAGTATTTCAGACATGCACACACATGCACCCGGCATGAGTTTAAACCCGAGGGTTCAGGACTCAAACCAGTCAACTATGTGAGAGTCCAGCAATGTAACTATTATGCCATCTGCTGGTCCAAAAACACTCCTGAACTTCTGAAGAAACCAACCCTGGGGAACCAGCAGTTAGCGTAATGGCTATGTTGCTGGACTCCCATGTAGTAGACCGCAGTTCGCATCCCGGACCTGGTGGCTTAAAACTCACGCCGGGCGCATGTGCGTGCGCGCCCAAGATCCCGAGAGGAGAATGGAGGAGAAGGGATTGCGGCGTGACCATCCCCCCGGGGGGTGATTTCTCGCTTTCTGTCTCTATGTCTCTCTCTCTCTGTCTGGCAAGTGCACATGCCCTATAGTGAAAATCTCTCCAAAAAAAGAAAAAAAGAAACCAACCCTGAAGCCAACAGGAGCCCCGGACATCCTCACAACAGCCTTAGCTGAGTCAGTCTGAGGTAGATGCCATGCTCAAAAGGTTGAGACCTGTACTGCTAGAGGCCAAATGTTCTTCCTTGCTCATTCTTTCAGGCCTGTCTTTCCTGTTGCCACCCAGCTCCGCAGAACTGAACATCACAGAGAAGTCACAGACAGAAAGAAAAGAGGTTCAGGATCAGCAGTTGGTGTAATGGCTATGTTGCTGGACTCCCATGTAGTTGACCGCAGTTCAAGTCCTGGACCCAGTGGCTTAAACTCATGCTGGGCGTGTAGGCGTGCATGCCCAAGATCCCGAGAGGATAATGGAGGACAAGGGGTTGCGGCATGGCCATCCCCCTTGGGGGGAGGGTGATTTATCGCTTTCTGTCCCTCTGTCTCTGTCTTTCTGGTGAGCACATGTGCTCTAGAGCAAAAACCTAAAAAAAAAAAAAAGAGAGAGAGAGAGAGAGAAGAGGTTCAAGCAGGTGGTCACAAAGCAAAAACCAGGCTACAGAAGATGTCAAGAGGTAAAGGGAAGAAGGAACCAAGTGTCACAGGCCAGAGTTGGGAGAGAGAATTCGAAATCCAGGTAACTGAGATGGGAACGTGAAAATAATATGCTCTCACTTCTACATTTAATTAGTGATCCACGCACCCAAGTATATCAGCTTCTGACTTGGACATGGCCTCTGAAAGACAACACATCCAGCATTAAATGCATTATCTTCCCCAGGGAGTAAGCATCTTCCTCTGAGTTCCTCTAACCAGTCACGGGCACGGCTGCCCTACCAGACACCCACACAAACAAAAACTACACTCACACACACACACACACACACACCTCCCCTCAAAGTGACTACAGTGGAGTAAGCACCATCATTAGGAACCAGAACCCCAAGTCTTCAGGTCTAACTCTCTCACTTACTAGCTGTGGGAATTAAATAAATCTTTAATCTCTCTAAGTCTTAATTTTGTTTCTCTTTTATTAAATAAGGAAAACAAAATGTATTTGAAGGCTATCACGGTGACCATCCTAAACACACATTTCTTTGAATGTGCAAAAACTCAGTTGTTCACCCAAAAGGCAGAATGGCTCTTAATCCTTTTTATAAAACCTTGAGACAACTGCTTAATCTTTCTCACACACAAAATCCCAAGACTTTCACAGAGATCTCACATCTAATAGTCTTGTCTCGGGCTGAGAACATCTAGCTTTGAACTGGTCCAGCAGCACAGTAGTTGGGTACCATGCAATGGAACAGATCCCACATGGCTAACCACGATTTGAGTCCCAGCCCCACAGACTTGAAAAACACACTGGATTGGGAGCAGCAGGTGGTGCTGTGGTTAAGGCACTGAATTTCTACGTGGTCAGTCACAGTTCAAGTCCCAGAGTGGCTTAAAAATCACACCGGGTGCGTATGCATGCATGTGTGCCCAAAATTCCAAGAGGAGAATAGAGAAGGTGTTGTGGCCTGGCCATCTCCCCAGGCGTGATTTCTTACTTTCCCTCTCACTGTCTGTTTCCAGTAAGCGTAGATGCCCTATGGCCAAAAACTAAAACAGAAAAAGAAAAAGAAAAATACACTGGGTATGTGGTACGACCATGCTCCACTAGGAGTGCTTTTTCTTCCTCTGGCAGGCGCATGCCCTCTAGCAACTGAAAAAAAAAAAAAAAAACTAACTCAAAACAGTAGAACTAAAACTCTACTGTGGTACTGAAGTCCTCTAAAATTTGGCTAAATCTACTACTGGATTTTTTTTTTTCTACCATGTATCCTTTGCAAGACTATAGATGACACATGTGGTATTTCCTCAGTCTATAAAATGTCCACCTTACTAGACCATGAGGATGAGGAACAATGTGATGAGATGGGGAGCTGGAAGGAACCTGAGCAAAATACTCTGGACCCCTGACCTCTGGACTTTACGTAAGAAAACAAAACATTTCCATCTGGTTTACACCCATTACTTTTGGGGTCTGTAATTTCCCACTTAATCACCACATAATCCCAATTCTGTACAAGAAAATATTTAAATACATGTGTCCTCCCCTCAACCAAAGCTTGGCAGAATATGCCAAAATTAACAGTGGTTATTTTGGCCGTTACCATATTATTTTTATTTTGTATTTACTAAATTTCCCACAATAGTATGCATTATTTATATTTCAGGGAAAAAAAGTTTTAAGTTTTAGTAAAGAAAATAACAGATTGGTGAATATGACAAGACAGTCAACTCTGTGGGGACATGAAAGGGAATGCTTTTCAAGCTGTACAGTCAACAATCTCAAAGCCCAGGCCACATCCCGTTCTGAGAGTGGAGGGAAAACTAGGCATCGGTAGTTTTAAAGGTTCCCCAGTTCCTCGGTGACTGTGACATGCAGCCACAGGAGAAAAGAGCTCCTGGAGGAAGGAGCTGTGTCTGACTCATCTCCGATATGCTCAGAACCTGGCCCTGTGCTGGGCACGGAGTGAGGAGGGGGTACTCCTAAGTGTGAGGATGAGCAGGTAGGGAAAGTGCACGGGCAGAGGGGAGTTCCCACACAAGTCACAGGTCACACACTTACTTGAAGGGGGTAGCTCACCTCTATGGCATAGCAGAAGTCGGCACCCACCGTGACGGCCATCATGGACAACAGCCCCGTGCCAGTGCCAATGTCAAGGACCACAGCCTTCTGTCCTCTGTCCTTCACCCGGCTCACAGCTGCCCGAATACCCTGATAATATTTTATGTTCTAAGAGAATGAGAGAAATAGCAGTTACCACAAGTGAAGCTCTAGAGTCACCACTGGCAGCCATGGTACCACTCATTACCCCACAGCTTTTCTGGCCCCTTGAGGAATGGTACTGGCAGGTTGAGTTGGTTAGGCCTTGCAGGACTCCAAGAGCACCAGGCTAGCCTCTTGTCCTTTAGTAAACAATTGTCTCCCCCTCCACATTCACTCCTATCCTCTGCCCAGTGACACTGGGGCTGGGGCTCGCCAAGCACGTGCTCCTCTTTGTAGTCATCAGGTTCAGTCATTAGGGCAACTGGAAGGTAGGAAAGAGAAAGCTTGCTCCTTCCTGTATGGCTGCTGCACTCACCAGAGCTCTCCCAGCAGAGGCAGCCAGCTCCAGATATTGGCTTCTCCCACCTCTCCCATATTCAGCCTCCTCAGGCCCCTTTGGAGCAACAGTAATCCCTCTAGCCACTGCCAAGCAATAAGCCCTCTCAGAGCTCTGAGCACCAGCTCCTTGGGACCTCCCCTCCCCACTTCTCGGCTCTGAAAACCTAATATTCTTGTTTCTCAGCCCTTGGTGGAGTAACTGCTCCCTGCAATATTGCCACTGGGTGACCTAGGTTTTCTCAATCCTGGGTAACCAACTCCTTAAATTCCCTCAGCAGTCACATAAAATGCGGCTTTTGTTCTCCTTATTGGACTTTAAGTTACACAGCTTTCCTCTCTAAAATGTATATCCCTCTGGGCCGAGCAGGTGGTATAGTGGTTAAGGCACTGGATTCCTATGTGGTCAACCATGGTTTGAATCCTGGGCCTGGTGGCGTGAAACTCACACCAGGCACTTCTGCAATGCATGCCCAAAATCCCAAGAGGAGAATGAAGGAGAAGGGATTGCAGCATGGCCATCCCCCATGGTGAATGATTCTCACTTTCCCTCTATCTCTGTACATGGCAAAAACGTTGGGAAAAAAAGAAAAAGTATATTCCTCTTCAGAAACAATCTCTTTGCATCTTAAGGGCCTTTTTTTCCCCCTAAGATATTTTTGCTATATAGTACGTGTGCTTGCCGGAGAGACAGAAAGCAAGAAATCACCCCCCAGGAGGATGGCCATGCTGCAATTCCTTCTCCTCTTAGAATTTTGGGCACGTGCACACAGATGCCCAGCATGAGTTTTAAGCTGTTGAGTCCAGGACTCAAACTGCAGTTGACTATGTCCAGTGATTTAACCAATACACCATCTGCTGGTCCAACATCTTAAAGGTCTTTAATTCAAGTCTTTAGTAACAGATAACATCGATAACATCTTTCACCTGTAACAGTGTGGCAAAATAGGTACTGTGACCTTTCTGTTGAAAGTAACTAAAGGTAGAGACCAGCTCCATAGCCTTGTGGTTAAGGCATCTGGATCCTACACAGTCAACCATGCAGTTTGAATCCCAGACCTGCTGGCTTGAGAAACACACCAGGCAAATGTGCATGCATGCCCCAGGAAGGACAAATGAAGAAGCTCGCAGCTCTAAGAGTCCAATAAGAAGCCAAAATCGTTAAGCTTCAGAGGATTAGTCAACTGTCAAGAATATTCACTTCTCATATTCTCCAATTCCTCAGAGCTTAGCAAAGACATTTAGACATCTGATGAAAAATAAGGAGGCACCTTGACCCTTTGGTAAGCTACGCACTCAAGGTGCTAAGAAGGTACTTTGGTCATGGTGCTTCCAAGAAAGCAGCTGAGCAGAGTTCATCAGGGATGAGGAAAGGAGACCCCCACCGACAGCCACGTGACCATCCTCACACATGTCCTGATTCCTCTCCCACCTTGACCTGCTCAGCTCTTAGACTTCACCTTACACCTTCTCTTCAGGTCTCCCAGCTTCGGGATAATCTATGTGGAACACATTACGCAAGTACTCTGGGACCCAAGGGAATTCTAGGCTGCTAACCATCCTAAGCTCTATAGCTCAAACCAAAGAAAATTCAGATCAAACACAAACGTGAGGCACAGTCATGTTGGCAGCTGCAGAGGCACAGAGAGCAGAGAGACTGCTGTACCAGCTGGAGACCATGTGGGAAAGCTCTGGGGTCAACATGGGGTTACCTCAACATGCCAGGAACACCTACCATCCAGGTGGCTGCAGGGCTAGTGGCAGGAGGACTGCAGCGTGAGTACCTATGTGCCCTCCTACCTCTCTCTCTCAAAAAAATTAAAAAATTAGCTTTAAAACAAAACACAAATTGAGAGAAAAGCTGAAATGTAGTTGTATGATAACCACCACATGCATTATACGAAATACAGGAATCTTTTACTAGTGACCACTAGATTTGACTTTAAAATCAAAAACTGAGGGCCAACAGGTGGCATAGTGATTAAGGTGTTAGATTCCCACGTGAGCGACCACAGTTTGAGTCTCGGACCCAGCAGCTTGAAACTCATGCCGGGTGCGTTGTGCATGCATGCCCAAATTTCCAAGAGGAGTATGTAGAAGGGACTACAGTATGACTATAGCCCCCTGGATGGTGATTTCTCGCTGTCTCTCAGTCTCTTCAGCAAGTGCACATGCCCTGTAGCAAACACCTCTCCAAAAAAAAAAAAAAAAAATCACAAACTGACTATGAGAGATGAAACATGTCATCAGAAAATGGCCACCCAGAGCAGATCATGGAGATCAGTCAGTATACCCACTCATTTTTGGGGGGTTGTTTTTGATAAGGTTTTTGCCATAGGGCACATGTACTCGGCAGAGAGAGACAATAAGATGTGAGAAATAACCCCCAACAGGGAATGGCCACACTGCAATCCCTTCTCCACATTCTCTTCCTGGGATATTGGGCACACATACACAGGCAACCAGCATGAGTTTCAGGCTGCTGGGTCCAGAACTCGAACCACGTTGGCCATGTGGGAGTCCAGAGCCTTAAATACCACGCCACCTGCCAGTGCCCCTACTCGTTTTAATAATATAATGATCAACTGGTCTGAGGTGTATTTCATGTTGGGTAAACTCTCTTTGCAAGTCAAATGTATGAAAAATAAGAAAAGAAAAACAAAAAAAAGGGGCTGGCAGGTGGCATGTGGTTAGGGGCGCTAGATTGCCACATGGCAGACCGCGGTTTGCATCTCAGACCTGGTGGCTTGCTTTCTCGCTTTCCCTTTCTCTCTTTCTGTCTCTCTCTGGTCAAACTTTTAAAAAATAATAATGATGGGGACCTGCAGTTAAATCCCAGGAGGAGAATGGAGAAGCGACTGTGGCATGGCCATCCCCCCGGGGGGGTGATTTCTCGCTTTCTGTCTCTCTGTCTCTCTCTGTCGGGCGAGCACATGTGCCCTATGGCAAAAACCTCTCCAAAAAAAAAAAAAAGACGATGACAGACAGAATTAAGTAAATAATTCTTTTTTTTTTTTTGAGAGATTTTCACTATAGGGCGCGTGCGCTCGCCAGACAGACAGAGAGAGACATAGAGACAGAAAGTGAGAAATCACCCCCCAGGGGGGAATGGTCACGCCGCAATCCCCTCTCCTCCATTCTCCTCTCGGGATCTTGGGCACACACGCACACGCTCCCGGCGTGAGTTTTAAGCCACCGGGACCGGGACGCGAACCGCGGTTGACTACGTGGGAGTCCAGCGACATAGCCATTACGCTAACTGCTGGTTCCCAAGTAAATAATTCTTTAAAAATAAAATAATGTAGTGATCAATGATGAAGATGAATATGTGTATTTCCATGATCTGATTATTATACTGCATGCAGCCTTTAAACCCATACCATACCTTTTAAAGATATACACCAAAAATATGTAAACCAGAAATCATAATTTAAAAAACAAAACAAAACGGGGCCGGCAAGTGGCATGGTGGTAAAATGTGACCCTGCAGTGCCGACCAACATGGGAGGGTTCTGGGTGCACATCCTGAGACCTCCCTGGGTACATCAGGAATGTGGTGTGCCTATGATCTGGGACTGGCTGGGGGTGAACTGTGATGTCAAGACCCTGAAAGGGGTTGCTGCCTCTATTTCTCTCACTCTCAAAGGAAATAAGGAAACACCAAAAGAAAGATGATGGTTTTCTTTTATACTTACTCTGTCTTTATCATGTAGCATATCTGCATAGGATGACCTAAAGAAAAAAAGAGACAAGTCAGAACCTTTGCTAATAATAATATATATCACCACATGACAGTAGTCATGCATTCCTAAATCAGATGGAAAAAACGTGTCTTCCATTTTAAGTGATTTCAATAGAGTTCCAAGCTGTCCTCCAGTATTACAGAAAAACATCTACGAGAAAGATGTTCTCAGAACTCAAAATGCCCTATCACAAGAATTCTACAGCCATCCTGATCATGCTACACAGGATATATTTTCCTCCTCATGAACTACTCAGACCCAATTTATTTGTGTGTGTTTTTTAAAGAGATATTTTGCTATAGAGCACATGTGCTCGCCAGAGAAACAAAGTGAGAAATCACCCTTCCAGGGAGGATGGGCATGTCACAATCTCTTCTCTTCCATTCTCCTCTTGGGATTTTGGGCACACATGCACATGTACCCAGGATGAGTTTCAAACCACTGGTCAGGGATTCAAACCATGGTCTACTACATGGGAATCTAGCATTACGTGGTAATCTAAACATTATGCCATCTGCTGGTTCATACATGCATGCATACATACATATACACACATGTGCACATATATAAAATATATCATGTACACATATATGTAATGTGTGGTGTGTATTTAATATATTATGTATTTACATGTGTTGTGTGTGTGTGTATGTATATATAAGTTTTTGCTATAGGGCACATGTGCTTGTTGGAAAGAGATAGAGATAGAGAAAGCAAGAAAGTGAGAAATCATCCCCAGGGGGCTGACCACTAGCCACGCTGCAATCTCTTCCCCTCCATTTTGGGCAAGCACACATGTGTCCAGCATGTTTTTCAAGCTTTCAGGTCCAGGACTATAATCCCCCAGCCAGCCATGTGGAATCTAGCCACCTTAACTATTACACCACCAGCTGGCCCCTGATACATATTGTTGACCACAGTCATTCATGAATCTGAAAACCCCTGGTAGTGTCAAAATGAGCTACCTGGATGCCCAAACCCAAAAGCTTCATCTCCAACACCATTCCCTCGCAACACCTCATAGTCCTTCTGTGTTTTCCCTCTTATAGAACCACAGCTCCACCCCGCTCATCATTCTGACTAGAGTTCTTGGTGCTTCTTGAATTTTCTCTCTCTTTCCATCACTGCATCTAGTGAGTTATCAATCTCGAGTTCCCTTAAGGTGTCTCCACCTTCTACTCCCTTTAATGCCTCTGCTTTGGGACTGCCATTCCCACCCAAAATATCTCCTCTCCTTCCAACCCACTTCCCACACTGCTCTCCCGTTCATTCTCTCACTCAGCAAATTACGTCCAAATCTTTAGAAATAAAGTGTCTTTTTATTTCTTTTTTTAAAGAAAAAGGTAGTTTATTAAGTAAAAGCAAAAGTACACTCCTGAGAACTAGAAGCAGGCATGAAATAACAGAAAAAGAGTGGCTCAAAAAGGCCAATTAAGTGACCAGCAGTTAGCGTAATGGCTATGTCACTGGACTCCCATGTAGTCGACCACGGTTCGAGTCCCGGACCCGATGGCTTAAACTCACAGCGGGCGCTTGTGCATGCCCAAGATCCCAAGAGGAGCATGGAAGAGAAAGGATTGCGGTGTGGCCATCCCCCCTGGGGGGGGGGGCGGGGTTGATTTCTTGCTTTCTGTCTCTCTGTCTCTCTCTGTCTTTCTGGCGAGCTCACACACCCTACAGCAAAAACCTCTCCAAAAAAAGAAAAACAAAAGCCAATTAAGTGTCATTTCTGAGCCCTTATTCTTTTTTTCTTTTGTTTTTTTTTTTGGAGAGGTTTTCACTATAGGGCGCGTGTGCTCGCCAGACAGACAGAGAGAGACATAGAGACAGTAAGCGAGAAATCACCCCCTAGAGGGGATGGTCACACCGCAATCCCTTCTCCTCCATTCTCCTCTCAGGATCTTGGGCATGCATGCACACGTGCCCGGCGTGAGTTTTAAGCCACCGGGTCCGGGTCGCGAACCGCGGTCAACTACGTGGGAGTCCAGCAACATAACCATTACGGTAACTGCTTGTTCCCTGAGCCCTTATTCTGACACTGTATTTGATTCAATCATCAAACAACCCTAAGATAAAGGTACTACATAGAGAAATGTACGTTATATTACAGCATATATTATTATATGGAGACTCAGAGAGATTAAGTAGCTCTGCCAACATCGCAGAGTTAAGAAATGGTAGCACATGGGGCCAGCAGGTGGTGTGGTGATCAAAGTGTTGGACTCCAAAACGGCCAACTGTGGTTCAAGTCCTGGAGCCAGAGAGGCCTGAAAATCATGCTGGATACATATGCACACAAACCCAAAATCCCAGAAGGAAAATGGTGAAGGAACTGCAAAGTTCCCCTCTGGGGGAATGATTTCTTACTTTCTCTCTCACTGTCTCTTACTGTCTCTCTCTGGCAAATACATGAGCCCTATGGCAAAAACCTATTTAAAAAACAACAAAAAAAAAAGGGGTAGTGCCTGACCTTAAACTCACATTCCTCTTCCTGTATTTTGTCACAGTCTTTACATACCCTCTGCCTACATTTTCAGCAGCCGCTCTCACCAGTCCTACTTTTGCACCATACTCCAGCCACGCTGAACTGCCAGCCATTCCCCAAACCTGCCTACCTGGAAGTTTACATGCACCCACCAACCTCTCCCCACCCCAGCTCAGACTTTAATTTCTCTCCCTTTACATTTAAGAAATGCCCCCTCACTTACCCTCAGCCTGTTTCTTTTTTAAATTTTTAAATAATTTTTATTTAATTTTATGTATCATTATCATTATTATTATTTTTCAATTTGATGCAGGACATGTGTACTCACAAGAGAGGAAGAAAGAAAAAGAGAAAGTGAGAAAGCAAACCACCAGGTCTAGGACTTGAACCATGGTTGGCCACACGGGAGTCCAGCACCTCAACCACCACACCACCTGCTGGCTTCCCTAGTCTAACTATTTCTTTCCACTTCCATAACCTTCTGTGCATATTTTCAGGGGCCTTTATCTCAATGTGCTATAATTTTTTTATATGTCTGTTTCTTCCAGAAAACTGTATTTTCATGAGGATGGAAACCATATCCCCAGTGCCGACGTATTGAATGTGCCTAATGATTGCTAAATAATAGCAGCTCATATATTTTTAAACATTCCTTCCAAGGAGGAAATCAAAGTTTTTACTTTATTTATTCATGGAATTTTCTTAAAAAGAATTATTTATTTTTATTTATTCATTCATTTATTTTAATCTGACCAGAGAGAAAGTGAGAAAGCAAGCCACCAGGTCCAGGACTCGAACCATGGTCAGCCATGTGGGTGTGTCCAGCACCTTAACCAAGCCACCTGCTGGCTCCATCATTCATAAAAATTTAACCATATGCTAACTGTGTCACCACTTCAATGACATAAGCAAATGATTAAGTTTCATAAACTCTACTACTACTGAAGCTTGGGTCCCCTTAGTTTTAGTAAGCAGATCCTGTGAGACTCTGGTAAAGCTGTTACATGACTTCTGATACTCCAAACAGGCATGAATTTGACCAACTCCCACACATATCTGTCTGGCTGAGCAGACCTGGCTATGATTCATCCCCTCTGATCAAAGGCAGAGAAATCACCCCCTAGAGGGGATGGTCACACCGCAATCCCTTCTCCTCCATTCTCCTCTCAGGATCTTGGGCATGCATGCACACGTGCCCGGCGTGAGTTTTAAGCCACCGGGTCCGGGTCGCGAACCGCGGTCAACTACGTGGGAGTCCAGCAACATAACCATTACGGTAACTGCTTGTTCCCTGAGCCCTTATTCTGACACTGTATTTGATTCAATCATCAAACAACCCTAAGATAAAGGTACTACATAGAGAAATGTACGTTATATTACAGCATATATTATTATATGGAGACTCAGAGAGATTAAGTAGCTCTGCCAACATCGCAGAGTTAAGAAATGGTAGCACATGGGGCCAGCAGGTGGTGTGGTGATCAAAGTGTTGGACTCCAAAACGGCCAACTGCAGTTCAAGTCCTGGAGCCAGAGAGGCCTGAAAATCATGCTGGATACATATGCACACAAACCCAAAATCCCAGAAGGAAAATGGTGAAGGAACTGCAAAGTTCCCCTCTGGGGGAATGATTTCTTACTTTCTCTCTCACTGTCTCTTACTGTCTCTCTCTGGCAAATACATGAGCCCTATGGCAAAAACCTATTTAAAAAACAACAAAAAAAGTGGTAGTGCCTGGACTTAAACTCACATTCCTCTTCCTGTATTTTGTCACAGTCTTTACATAACCTCTGCCTACATTTTCAGCAGCCGCTCTCACCAGTCCTACTTTTGCACCATACTCCAGCCACGCTGAACTGCCAGCCATTCCCCAAACCTGCCTACCTGGAAGTTTACATGCACCCACCAACCTCTCCCCACCCCAGCTCAGACTTTAATTTCTCTCCCTTTACATTTAAGAAATGCCCCCTCACTTACCCTCAGCCTGTTTCTTTTTTAAATTTTTAAATAATTTTTATTTAATTTTATGTATCATTATCATTATTATTATTTTTCAATTTGATGCAGGACATGTGTACTCACAAGAGAGGAAGAAAGAAAAAGAGAAAGTGAGAAAGCAAACCACCAGGTCTAGGACTTGAACCATGGTTGGCCACACGGGAGTCCAGCACCTCAACCACCACACCACCTGCTGGCTTCCCTAGTCTAACTATTTCTTTCCACTTCCATAACCTTCTGTGCATATTTTCAGGGGCCTTTATCTCAATGTGCTATAATTTTTTTATATGTCTGTTTCTTCCAGAAAACTGTATTTTCATGAGGATGGAAACCATATCCCCAGTGCCGACGTATTGAATGTGCCTAATGATTGCTAAATAATAGCAGCTCATATATTTTTAAACATTCCTTCCAAGGAGGAAATCAAAGTTTTTACTTTATTTATTCATGGAATTTTCTTAAAAAGAATTATTTATTTTTATTTATTCATTCATTTATTTTAATCTGACCAGAGAGAAAGTGAGAAAGCAAGCCACCAGGTCCAGGACTCGAACCATGGTCAGCCATGTGGGTGTGTCCAGCACCTTAACCAAGCCACCTGCTGGCTCCATCATTCATAAAAATTTAACCATATGCTAACTGTGTCACCACTTCAATGACATAAGCAAATGATTAAGTTTCATAAACTCTACTACTACTGAAGCTTGGGTCCCCTTAGTTTTAGTAAGCAGATCCTGTGAGACTCTGGTAAAGCTGTTACATGACTTCTGATACTCCAAACAGGCATGAATTTGACCAACTCCCACACATATCTGTCTGGCTGAGCAGACCTGGCTATGATTCATCCCCTCTGATCAAAGGCACTGGGTGACAGCCTAGTCCCGGATTGGAGTATGAGGTGCTTCCTTTCAAATCAGCACTGTGAAGCAGCCCTATTACCTTGCAATCTCCTGGTGGTAATCATAGTGCTCATCTTCCTCCAGCCACTCCACAGATCCTGTGGTCGGATTGGCCCGCCCGCAGAAGACCTTCATGGCACCAATCAGTTCCTCAGTATTAGGACAGAAAAGCTGCTTTGCCAGCTCACTCCTGGTGGACAGCTCTGATGGTCAGAAATCTACTAACATCATATTGCAAAAAAATGTGGGTGAAGAAAAAAACAAAAGAGAAAAAAAATCAAGAAATAGACAAAAAAGTCAAAGCCACTAAAAGTATTCTTTAATCAATATTTTAATCATTTCAGTAAAAATTATTTTATTATGTTGTTGTTTAACTTGCTCACCAGAGAGAGACAGAAATGAGGGAAAGTGAAAAAGCAGCCCCCTGGGGGAATGCCCACACTGCAATCCCTTCTCCTTCATTCTCCTCTTGAGATTTTGGGCATGCATGCAAGTACACCCAGCATGTTCTCAAGCTCAAGATTCAGGACTTGAACTGTATAGTAGGCCATGTGGGATCCAGCTGCCTCAACCAGCACATCACCAGCTGGCCCGAGTCATTCGGTTTTATATTCATCACGTAACATCAAAACCACAATAAATTCATAAAGCTGTCAAGAAATGTCAATAGACTTCAGCAATTGCAACAGTCAAATGAGCCTCACGAGCTAACGTGGGCATGGCCCTCAAGTAAAAAAGACAGTGGAGAAAGCACAGAAATGGATACCAAAGGGCTAGAAGGAGAGCAAAAAGAGGTGAAATGGTGGTACAAAAATGCCACCAGTGCTACCTCAGTATAGTGGACACCTGGCTTACAGAAAAAGACAAAGATAGAACAAGTCCAACTAAGAAGACTATCTAAACCACAGACCACAGCCTTATACAAATATGAGTAATCCCAGGAATATACTATTGAGCAAAAAAAGCAATTGACAGAATGCATAAATAGGATTCCATTTGCAGTAGCCCTGTCTTATCCACAGCTTTGTTTTCAAGGTTTCGGTTACTCATGGTCAATCAACTGAGGTCCAAAAATAGGTGAATATGGCACAATAGGGTATTTTGGGTGAGAGAAATGACATCCCATAATTTTTGTTATATTGTTGTAACTGTTCTATTTTATTATTAGTTAATCTCTTACTGTGCCTAAATTAGAAATTAAACTTTACCATGTATATACATGGTAAAGTTTTCTATACATATGTATAGAAAAACACACAGTATTGGGATCAGCAGTTGGCGTAATGGTTATGTCGCTGGGTTCCTGTGTAGTCAACCATGGTTCAAGTCCCAGACCCGGCAGCTTAAAGTCACACCGGGCGTGTGTGCGTGCGTGCCCAAGACCCCCAAGAGAAGAATGGAGGAGAAGGGATTGAGGTGTGGCCATCTCCCAGAGGGGTGATATCTCACTTTCTGTCTAACTTTCTGGTGAGCGCATGTGCCCTATAGCAAAAATTTCTCCAAAAAGAAATAAAAAAGAAAAACACACAGTATTATACAGGGTTTGGTACTGTCTTGCAGGCATCCAGGGGTCTTGGAATGTATCCTCCACAGATACACAAGAACTAGTACAAAGTTTGTAATGATGCACAATGGAACCGTATAGCCGTTGTGGATCACACTAAAAAGCATAGCAGAGATTTAAGAATAGTTATTATTTCCAAGAGGGAAGGGAAAGACCGGAACAAGGAGAGCTACCCAAACGACTTCAAAATCACAATATAGTTCTTAAGATGGGTAGGGCAACTGTGGAAACACAGGTATTCATATTTTCAGTCTGTGTACTTTGATTATTCTTTTTTTTTTTTTTTTGAGAAGTTTTTGCTATAGGGCGCGTGCGCTCGCCAGACAGAGACAGAGAGACAGAAAGCGAGAAATCACCCCCCGGGGGGATGGCCACGCCACAATCCCTTCTCCTCCATTCTCCTCTCGGGATCTTGGGCATGCACGCACATGCACCTGGCGTGAGTTTTAAGCCACTGGGTCCAGGACGCGAACTGCAGTCAACTACGTGGGAGTCCAGCGACATAGCCATTACGCCAACTGCTGATCCCTTGATTATTCTTTTTTTTTCTTGGTCAGGGGAAAGAGACTTTTGCTATAGGATGTGCTCTCCAAAGAGACAGAGATGGTGAAAGAAAGAGAGAAATTATCCCCCCTGCCCAGAGGTGAGGGGAAGGAGGATAACCACACAGTAATCCCTTCTTCTCCACTCTCCTCTCAGGATTTTGTGCTCCCATGCACATGTGAATGGCCTGAGTTTCAAGCAACCAGGTCAGAACTTGAACCACAATAAGCCACATGACAGCCCAGTTGTCTTAACCATTATGCCATCTGCAGGTCCAATTATTCTTTTTAATGGGGGGAGGCATGAAACAGAATTCCTCAAGGGACCTGGGCATGCCACAATCCTTTTGCTTCCAATCTTCCACTGCGTCAGGATCCTAGGCAAACACATATACCTGGGATTTTTTTTCAAGTCTGTGGGTTTGAGACTAAAACCCTGGTCACCCTTATGAGATCTGGCATCCTCTGCATAGTACCTAGCATAACTTTCTTTTCTTTTTCTTCTTTTTAAAGGTTTTTGCCACAGAGTGCCTATGCTACCTGGAGAGAGACAGCGAGAGGGAAAGTGGGAAATCACCCTCCAAGGGGGATGGCCATGCCGCAATCCCTTCTCCTCCCTTCTGGGATTTTGGGCACGCAGGCACACCCACCCAGCGTCATTTTCCAGCTGCCAAGTATGGGACTCCAACGGAGGTTAGCTTTGTGGGAGTCCAACGTCTTAACCACCAAGCCAACTACTGACCTCTGCTCAACTATTTTTTAAAAATAATTACTTCTCATGCACTCAAAACTTAAGTTTAAGGGAACCAGCAGTTAGCGTAATGGCTATGTCGCTGGACTCCCACGTAGTCGACCGCGGTTCGTGTCCCGGACCCGGTGGCTTAAAACTCACGCCGGGTGCGTGTGCGTGCGTGCCCAAGATCCCGAGAGGAGAATGGAGGAGAAAGGATTCCGGCGTGGTCATCCCGCCTGGGGGGTGATTTCTCGCTTTCTGTCTCTATGTCTCTCTCTGTCTGTCTGGCGAGCGCACACGCCCTACAGTGAAAATCTCTCAAAAAAAAAAAAAAAAGGAAAGAAAATTTAAGTTTAAAAGCTACCGTCCCCCTTTATTCATTATATATTGAACGCACAAAAGAGACAGAAGCACCCTCCAGTGTCTGTCATGCCTTGAACCTTTTCCCTCTTTTGGAAAGATGCTCGGATTTCATTCTAAGTGCAGTGAGAACCACCCCAGGGTTTAAGAAGCATGTCTACGCCGGTGTACACTCTTACAGGACCGTTCTGGCTAGTGTGTGGTGAACAGACTGGTTTCCAACTACTCTACTAAGACCACAGTGATTGAAAACATGAGTCCATCGGCAGTTTGCCTGAACCAGAGAACCAAGGCGCAGCAATTACTGGTTCGCGGGCGGGAGCTCCTTATGGGTGCGGTGCGGGTCTCTGGCTGAAAGGAGGCACCAGGCACGAGTACTATGGCCCGGGCCCCGCTAGCGGCGGTGGGACTGCAGAGACAGGACTGGTGTGGAATCGCGCTCTCCCACCGGCGAGGGCGCTCCGAGCCGCCCCACGCGGACGCGAAGTTAGGTCCTCGGAAGTCCCAAAGGGCCGCGTACCCCGAGTACACCCACGCCAGGCTCCTCTGACGGAGCCGTGAAGTTGAGGGCAAGAGACGGCTGCACTGAGGACTCCAGTCACGACCCCACCTTCCCAACACCCCCAGCGCCTCACCCGCTGTGGGAACCACTCCGCGGGAATGTCCTGTCACCGCCATCTTGCCGCGGCCAGCGTGCGGAGGCGGGGCCTCAGTGCTCGCGGGGCGTATTGGGGGCGGGACTTGGAGCGGAACTTGGAGGCTTTCCCGTCGCACCCCGCGCGTTCCCACAGTGCTCCACGCCAACGCTATGGAGGCCGGGAGGACTGCGGTGCTCCGAGTGAAGCGGAAGCGCACGTCGGAGCCGGCCGAGGCTCTTGTACTCGCTTGTAAACGCCTCCGGAGTGGTCCGGTTGAATCAGATGCACAGGAGACGCCGGAGGACCTGGAAAGGGCGGCGGAGAATAATGTCTTCCAGTTGGTGGCCACCGTGCGCTCCCAGGTATTGGGTGGGGATGGAGCGGGTGTTGAAAAGATCATGGTGCGCTGTCGGGATAAAACCTTATTTCTGAATCTCCGAGTTCCTCTCAAATACTGTCTTATTCCGGCCCCCTCCTCTGCTGCCCTCCAGGAGGAACCAGTCCAGCCCCTCGTGCGGGCTGCCCTGCGCCCGTCTTTGGGCAGCCAGCAGCGTATCCGCCGCGGTCTTCGCGCGTCGGCTCGAGAGAGCAGGCAGGAAGGCCGCTATCGGGTGGTCTCCAGCCGCCGATCCTCGGGGACCGCCTCGGGCTCCCTGGTGTCCGAGTACCAGCCAAGGAACCTAGAGACCTCTGAGGACGAAGGCTTCCAGCTGTTCGACCTAGTCCACGAGGAAGGAGACGGAGAGGCAGCTGCCATGGACTCCTACAAAGTGAGTACCAACCCAGAGGCGGGCTCTGGGCCCCAGAGCAGCACACAGTTGACAGGCGGTACACAGCTCCCCCTTAGGGATGGATGAGCCCTCCGGCGTAATGGTGTCATTTTACATATTTAGTTATTGGCTCAGTTATTTACAGAGTGATACTGTGTGCTGGGTAATGGATAGCGTGGATATGATAGTGAGAATGTAACATTCAGTTAGAGGCAGAAGCAGTAAACAAATTAAATTTCATATGATGGAAAAGTTTAGAGGGGGCAAACAAAGAAGGAAAACAGTGGTGCCATTTCAGTGAAGAAAATGACATTTGAATTAAGACTTGGAGACGCGAATGGCAGGGCATTATATCTTAGTAGTAGTGAGGCCTTCTAAGCAGAGGAGGTCCAAGTGTCAAGGCCCTGAAGCATAGTTTGGTCTTTGAAAGGTCCTTGTGCCTGAAGTTCAGTGAGCTGGAGAACAGGTAGTAAGGTGTTTGGGGGACCATGCCTGCTAGGCCTGAGCTTATTTGTTGCCTTTCACCCTGTGTGAGATGGGGGAATCACCGGAATAGTGTAGAGAAAGCAGATGGGAAAATTAACCTAGTGTTGTATATTGAGCTAGAGAAAGATTTAAGGCTAGAATGCAAGTCTTCTCATACCTGATTTAATGCTTTTTCCACTATATTACGTTTACTAAGTTCTGTCTGGCTTCCAAAAAACAAGGTCTATTACATGCAGTAAAACCACAGAAATAAAAATTTCTCAGCATAAGGTGTGCCCCCTCTTGATAAACATTTTTCTTGGAACAAAAAACTTATTTAATCGTTTTTGAAGTTTGAGAAATTAAATTTTAATTCAAAATGAATCAGCAAGCAAAAAAATATATAATCACAGTGCTAGTATAAATGGATAGCAATTGGGTACTATCTATAGCATATCTTTCACCAAAACTAATTTCAGACAGACTTGTGAGTTACAAATTTATTTATATATTTTTTGAGAGGTTTTTGCTATAGGGTACGTGCACTCGCCAGAAATTCAGAGACAGAAAGCAAGAAATCACCCTCCAGGGGGATGGCCATACCACAATCTCTTCATTCTCCTCTCGGGATCTTGGGCACGCACGCACATATGCCCGTCGTGAGTTTAAGCCACCGGGTCCGGGACTTGAACCGCAGTCAACTACATAGTTCAGCGACATAGGCATTATGCCAACTGCTGTTCCCACAAATTTTTTTTTTTTTGAGAGAGAGATTTTTGTTATAGGACATGTGTGCTCACCAGAGAGAGACAGAAAGTGAAAAATCACCCACCACCCCCAGGAGGAATGGCCATGCAGCAGTCCCTTCTCCTCCACTCTCCTTTCAGGATTCTGGGCACACATGCACACACACCCAGCATGAGTTTTAATCCCTGGGTCCAGAACTTCAACTGGTCCAGAGTTCAGCAATGTAACCATTACCGTAACTATTACACCATCTGCTGGTTCCTAGTTACAAATTTTACTATTTTTTTTTTCTGGAGAAGTTTTTGCTATAGGATGCATGTGCTTGCCAGAAAGGCAGAGAGAGACAGACAGAAAGTGAGAAATCACCTCCTGGGGGGATGGCCATGCCGCAACCCCTTATCTTCCGTTCTCCTCTCGGGATCTCGGGCACACATGCACAGTTTAAGCCACTGGGTCCAGGACTCAAACTGTGGTCAACTACATGTGAGTCCAGCAACATAACCATTATGCCAACTGCTGGTCCCCCCTAGTTAGAAATTTTTAAAAGCAAGCTAAAGTTCAGTGGAATCAAATCAGTTAAATACGTCATTCAGTTTTGTGAGAGACACTAGTAGATAAACTGATGAAAGATATGAACAAATTTTCCTGTTAAAGCCATACAAGATGCTAAACACATCAGACATGCACAGAATAAGAATAGGAATTTAGACATACTCAAGGTTTTACACCTACTAGACTAGCAAGGAAGAGGTAGTAGATAGCCTTTCTGACAAGACTGTGATTAAAAGGGTACTCAAATGTGGTCATTAAAATTGATGTGGAGGCTGGCAGGTAGCATGGTGGTTAAGGTGATGGACTTCCACATGGGTGACCATGGTTCAAGTCCCAGACCTAGTGGCTTTCTTTCTCATACTCTCTATTTCTCTCTAGTCAAATTAACAACAATAACAATAAAAAATAAAATCATTCTCTTTAAAAAAAAAAAAAAAACTGGACAACAGCATGGCTTTAGATGTTGGGAATCCTAAAAATAGCTTGGGGACCTTTTTTTTTTTTTAAAGATATGGTCTCACTGTATTGCCCATGCTAGCCTTGAACTCAATGATCTTCCTGACTCAGCCCCTGAGTAGCAGGTGCTGCTGTGCTCAGCTCTGGGGCCCATTTTGAAATATGTTTTTTATTATTATTGTTTAGGTCTCAAACCATCTAAAAAATCTAAAGACATTTTTAAAATTAGTTCAGCATTTCTATGCCACTTTATAGTGGGTTTCTTCTTAAATTGACATCATTTCGACGTTAAGCAAATAAGGTAACAGTTTAACAGTAAATTAAAATATTATAGAAGTTCAATTCATTTTATCTAGTATTATATCCTAGGAAGGTAATTCAGAAGACACAAATAGCTATGATATTAACAAAAGCTATCGTTGGTTTACTAGTAATTATCAAGTGCTATGCTAAATACTTGGTATATTTACTTATAATTTAACTTATTTAATCCTCTCGAAAATTGTTAGATACTTTTATCCCCGTTTTTCAAATGCAGGAATTGGCACATTCATTGCAACACTATATATGGAGGCTAAAAATTATATCCAAGAAATTGATAGATACAGCTGTCTGGACTTTTGAAATTGATAACCATGAAGACTGGCAATATGGGAAAATACTTACATGTGTTTAACAGAAAATGCTATATGTAGTATAATTGAAAATATGGGTAAGCATATACATGGACACAGACTTCAAAATAATTTTTATAATGTATGTTAATTATAGGATATTTGGAAAAAGGGAGGAAAATTTATCCATTTATCCATCTAAAAGTAACTGAATTAAAACTAGTCTGTTCACTTCTGAGTATATTTTTTTTTTTCCTTTTTAAAAGGTTTTTGCTATAGGGCGTGTGCGCTCACCGAAAAGACAGAGACAGAGACAGAAAGCGAGAAATCACCCCCCAGGGGGGATGGCCACGCTGCGATCCCTTCTTCTCCGTTCTCCTCTCGGGATCTAGGGCAAGCATGCACATGCACCTGGCATGAATTTTAAGCCACTGGGTCCAGGACTTGAAATGCAGTTGACTACATGATAGTTCAGTGATGTAACCATTATGCCATCTGCTTATCCTGAGTATAAAATTCTTTCTGGCAATTTTCTGTGTTGTTAAGTCATATATTTTAATGACTGCATATTGCTGGACTGAGGGTGGGGACTTGTGAGTTGGAGCCATAACTGTCCTCCTAAACAGCTTTGTGTTTGTGCAAGAGCTTGCACAGGGGCCAGCAGGTGGTGTGGTGGTTAAAGGCACTGGACTCCCACATGTCCTGACCACAGTTCAAGTCCCAGACCTGGAGGCTTGCTTTCTCCCTTTCTCTCTCTCTCTCACTCTCTCACTCTCTCACTTTTTCCCCCTCTGGTCAAATTCAAATAAATAAAGTTAAATTTCAAAAAAATCTAAAAAAAAAAATAAAGAGCTTGCACAAAAACTGAATTGGAACAATGCAAAAAAATTTTCTTAGCCTGTAAGTAATATCATCAGTCTCACTTTGTCTGCCTTGGCCACAGGACACCCCACTTTACCCTGTGTGGCATCTAGTTTGGGCTGTGCAGCCTCCTGTGATGAACCTGAGAGGTGCCCTCTATCCCCCATTTCCAAACTGAGCTGTGCTACTAGGGCACTGGATCACACAGCCCGTTCCCACTGGAGCACATCTTACCTGGGTCAGTTCTAGTCTAGAACATTTGAGCTCTTTTTTTTTTTTTTTTTTTTTTTTTTTTTTTTTTAAGGAATTATTAATTTTATTTACCTTGGGAGTACATGCACTCTCCAGAGAGAGACAGAGAGCAAGAGAGGAAGGGAAAATGAGAAAGCAAGCTGCTAGTTCTGGGACTTAAACTGTGGTTGGCCATATTGAAGTCCAGTGCCCTAACCACACACCACCTGCTGGTTCCCCCATTCAAGCGTTTTAGGCGAGAGATTATTTAGATGATGGGGCCAGCAGGTGGCGTGGCACTGGATTCCAACATGGTCGACTGTGGTTCGAGTCCCAGACCTGGCAGCTTGCTTTCTCTCTCTTGCTCTCTCTCTCTCTCATCAAATTAAAACAGGTGAATGAATGAATAATTTTTTTAAGATATAATATTTCTATAAGAAAGATTATAGATGAATCCACTCCAACTGTGTGATTAAACTCAGTGTCAGGGCAGGCCAGATGATGAGAGATGATAGTGATGGTCATTAGAAATCACCTGCTGTCCTCTATGCAAGGCCACACAAAATGCAGACCAATTTCAGGGTCAGTCATAGAGGTGTTGCTGTAGGCCAGGGAGAATACCATACCAAAGGATTTCAGAGAAGATCTGGAAAAGCAGGTCTAACTCAAAGCTTGGAGGGCAAGACTGTCTCGTTCCTCTGTTCTTCCATTCTCCTCAGGCCAGTCTTTCTATATGCTCTTTGTGTCAACCCAGCACAAAAGAACAAGAGGCTATCTTGTAGGTTTCTATTTCAAAAGAACATTAATTTTACAGATTATTGATTTTTTCAAAAAATATTTAATTTTTATTCATTCATTTATTTTTAATTCGACCAGAGAGAGACACAGAAAGGGAAAGTGAGAAAGGAAGCTGCCAGGTGTGGGACACGAACCATGGTTGGCCTTGTGGGAATGTCCAGCGCCTTAACCACCATGCCACCCACTGGTCCCCCAGATTATTGATTTTTTAAATTTCATAGGTAATTAAGAAGAGACCTGTGGTCAGTCCATGGGGATAAGAATCTTAACCACAACATAGAGACCTGTAGTTGGGATATTATATTTTGGGTCACACATGTATCATCTCTGTTTTTCTTACAGGCAGCTGACCCAGATGTGATCCTCTGCAATTCTGTAGAGTTGATCCGTGAACGATTGACTATATCTGAGAATGGACCAGAAGTGAGGCACCAGGAGGAACAAAAGCAAGATGACTATGTGTATGATATTTACTGCTTGGATATGGCCACTCCTGGATGGATCGAGAACATCCTTTCTGTGCAGCCCTACAGCCAAGATTGGGAGCTGGTAAGGGGGCCTGTGAGGAAAGGCATGAGGTAGGGGCCAGCAGGTAGCATGGTGGTTAAGGTGCTAAACTCCCAGGTGGCTGATCACATTTTGAATTCCAAACCTGGCAGCTTGCTTTCTCACTTTCTATTTCTTTCTGTCTCTGGTGAGTACATGTGTCTTATAGCAAATTAAAAAATAATAATAAATAAAATTAAATATTTTTTTTTCTTTCTTGTTTAGAGAAGTTTCGCTATAGGGCTTGTGCGCTCACCACAGAGACAGACATACAAAGTGAGAAATCACATCCCAAGGGGGGTGGCCATGCCACAATCCCTTCTCCTCCATTCTCCTTTTGGGATTTTGGGAATGTATGCATGCATATGTGCCTGGTGTGTTTTAAGCCACTGGGTCCAGGACTCAAACTATGTTTGACTATGTGGGAGTCCAGTGGTTCCAGTCCATAATGGTGTAACCATTATGCCATCTGCTGGTCCCAAATAATTCTTTTTAAAAACAAAAAGAACTACATGAAGTAGCTTAAGTTCTTTCTCTGGAATCTACATTGTTCTTAGTTATTTTTATCCTTGTTTAAAAAGAAAATATTCATTCTAACTTCCCTTTGGGAACCTTAGGATAGTCTAGGGCATTCTTTTTAGGGAATTCTGGGAAAAACTATCTACATTGATGATTTTCACTGGTTTGTTTTTAATTTTTTGCTATAGGGAGCATGTGTTTGCTGGAGACAGAGAAAGAGAGGGAAAGTAAGAAAGCACACCCCAGGGGAGGCTGGCCATGCTGCAGTCCCTTCTCCTCCATTCTCCTCTTGGGATCTTGGGCAAACACACACATGTGCCCAATGGTTTTTTTTTTTTTGAGTCCATGACCTAACCAACCACACAGGTGGCCATGTGGGACCCAGCTGTCCTAACTGCCATATCATCTGCTGGCCCAGTGATTTTTTTACTCGTAATCTTTTAAAAGGTTTACAACATCATCTTTACTGTTTATAGCTACTTACCCTGAGAGAGAAAAGATGTGTAGGGACTTACAACAAAATAGAGGCAAAATAAAACCAGACTTTAACATGAATGGGAACAAGTTGGGGATTTTTTGTTTTTTGGGTACTTTTTTTAGATTTTTGCTATAAGGCTCGAGCACTCTCCAGCAAGACAGAGACAGAAAGCGAGAAATCATCCCCCAGGAGGGGATGGCTACTCTGCTATCCCTTCTCCTTCATTTTCCTCTCAGGATCTTGGGCACGCATGCACACACGTGCCCGGCATGAGTTTAAGCCACCAGGTCTGGGACTCGAACCGCAGTCAACTACACGGGACTTCAGTGACATAGCCATTACACTAACTGCTGGTCCCTTTAATTCTTTCTTAAAAGAGGAGACAATCTTGGAACTGGCAGTGTGGTTAAGGGCGCTGGACTCCCACATGGCCGACTGTGGTTCAAGTCCTGGACCTGGTGGCTTGCTTTCTCACTCTCTCTCTCTCTCTTTCACTCTATCCCTCTTTGATCAAATTAAAATAGATAAATAAGTGGATAAATAAAGTTAAATAAAATAATTCTTTTAAAAAAAGAGAGAGAAAATCTTGGACGAAGAAAGCTAACATCCTGACACTGTTATTCTTTGATTAATGGGGAAAAGTGGCATGTGCACTCACATTATAAAAGCAGCACTTCATCTTGCACCCACCGTGGATTGTTGTGTGGCCCCTCGGCCTGCCTTCCTGCACCCCTAGTCTTAGTTTTTTGTTCTGATGTTTGGAATTGCTGGTAATCCATATAGTCCCTCTTCCACCTGGCTGCCCTTTGGAAATTAGAAGGCTGCTGACAACCTGGGACTTGCTCAGGGCCATTGCTGCTCTCTACCCTGAAATTCCTTCTAGTACAAATTGCCTGTCCCACTGGGAATGTGGTATCCAGAGCTAGACTCCGGAGAGGGGCTGCTACCTCCCTCTCAGTCTAATTTTATTGCAGTCTCCTCGTGCAGTAGTTACCTTAACTCCTGGAGCCTCTTTTTCACACTACCCCTCACATGACATTTCCTCAGATTGGCATGCTCATAGCTTCCCCAAAGAGCACAACCTTAGTGGTTTTAACTTAGGCTCATGTTTGTTGAGGTGTGCAGGTGAGTGATGATCAACAAACAGAGGACATTTATGAAGATGAAGATGACGAGAACAGTGAGAATAACTGGCGTAACGAGTACCCAGAAGAGGAGGACATCAGTGATGGAGATGAAAATTCCAGAGGTGGGTGGCAGCCCCAGGTCAGGAGGGACTGCTAGGCTCCAAGACTGAGGTGTCGGCAGAATTGGCATGTATGTCTTAACTGGCTTTGCTTCTCTGCCATTGAGCTCCAGCAGCTCAATCACAAGCTGTTGGAACTTTAAGACTCAAAGGCCAGTGTTTCCCTGGGGACTGCTGTGGATATACTGTTGGTCAAGCCTGAGCTCAAATCTTGTAGTTCTATAGTCACCTAACTATGGTCTTAAAGCTACTTCACCTCGCTGAGCCTCATTTTTCTCTCCATAAAATGAGATAATACTGTACTGACTTTTAATAGTCGAGACTAGTAAAATATGAGAAGGGCTTCAAAAAGTTCACAGAAAATGTATATTATGGAAAAAACTATACATTGATCTCAATTTTTTACACCAGGATCAGCTTGTACTTTAATTCCATTTTTTCATCAACTTTGTGAAGTTCCCTATATCCAGTTTATTGTCCCTTTCCCTGCTCCAGTCAAGAAAGTACTGGAGAGGCTTGCTTGTGGAAATAAGTCCAAGGTTTTCACAAGTCAGCTACCTAACATCTTAAGAAACTGCTACATGTACAACTGTTCTGAGAAAGATGCAGCAGAAAGATATGGTACCTGGGGAAAAGGGATGAAAAGATACTCTGGCAACACAGTTCCTTCGGTGACTAGCATCTAAGTGCCAACAGAAGGAATTTCATGGTGTTCTCTGATAACAGAGGAACAGCTGAACAATAGAATATATTGAGGAAATGACAGTGATGTGTTAGAAAGGGTAAAGTTACAAAATTTTTATTTTCAACATGACTATAACTGTTAAAAAAAATTTATACTTGAGAGATGTGATAAAACACTTCAGTGTTAAGGAACATAGTTCAGATAGTAGGAATATGATTGCATTTTTAAAAATTGTTCTATATTCTACATTTTCTAGAAAACCATGTAGTTAAGAGTCTATTCTTGGTCTTCCATTCTAGGCTCTGATGAATACAACAGTCTCAGTGAAGAGGAAAGTGGCTGTAGCAGACAATGCATGTGGAGCAAATACCCCCTGGATGTACAGAAGGAGTTTGGCTATGACAACCCCCATGACCTAGATTCAGACTGATAGTCTTGTGATAGCCATGAGATTCTGCACAGCCCTTGGGGGCTCTGTGACTACAGCATCAGCTGCCCTAGTGACATTCTCTTAGATTTCCTAGCTTAATGTGTGGAGGAAGCAGCATATCAAACAGTACCGTCTCATCACAGGGAAAACTATGCTAAGGAAATGGGTCTTTCCCACTAAAAGTAGGGCCTGAATCAAAAGTGACCCTGTAGTCTTTTAAAAAATGCTGTATAAAGGAAGGTTTGTTTAGCTTCTTGGCCCAGGCAGTTTTCCTGGTGTTCCAAGTCTCCTAGCTAAAGCCATACGGGTAGCAGAGAGGTTATTTCACCAGGAATACAGTTCTGCTTTCCCCATACTACCAGGCTGCCTGCCTCTAGTAAAACCTGTTCTTTTCGATAGAGGGAATGTGGAAGGGCTATAGTGGGGCCCTTGTAGCAGCACAGACTGGACAGTAATGGCCATTAGGGCAGGAAGTAGAATCTGAGCTGTGGAAGATTTTAGCTCACAGCTACCTCCGCTTTCCTGCTTCTGGACTCTGATGATGGTTGTAAAGATTGTTGTCATCCTTTGGCAGTAGTGCCCAGGGACAGAATGAATATGAATGTGACACTACTTGTTTAATAAAAACTAACTCTTACCATGGAAGAAAGTCACTCCTTTAAAACCTTATAAATCTGCCCCAGTCACAGTGGCACAGGCAGTGAGGCACAATTCACGATACTGGATCTACATGAGAAGGCCAAGGGTTTGGTGACAGCTGGACCCACAGGTGTGCCCATGATCCTGGGTGGCCAGAAGGCATCCCCCATGACAAGACACTGTAGGGGACCCTGTCTGTCTTTCTCTTCCTCTTTCGTGGAAAGAAAAAAAAAAAGTCTTTAAAAAAGATTTTAAGAGATTTCAAAAGATCTTAGTTCATGGACCAGCAGTTAGTGAAATGGCTATGTCACTGGACTCCCACATAGTGGACCGCGGTTTGAGTCCCAGACCCGGTGGCTTAAACTCATGCCAGGTGCATGTGCGTGCGTGCCCAAGATCCCGAGAGGAGAATGGAGGAGAAGGGATTGCAGCATGGCCATCCCCCCTAGGGGGTGATTTCTCGCTTTCTGTCTCTCTCTCTCTCTCTCTCTGTCGAGTGCACGTGCCCTATAGCAAAAACCTCTCCAAAAAAAAAAATCTTAGTTCAGATTTTAGTGTATGCACCCACCAAAGAGGTAGAGGGAAAAGTACCCCCAGAATGAGGTATAGTCATGCCACAACCCCTTTTACCATTTCTCCATCTTGTTGAGACTGTGGGCACGCATGCACATGTGCCCAGATCATTCCAGATGTCTTGACTGCTGGGGCCAGGACCCAAACTGGCCAACCATATGTGATCCAGCTCACTCAGCCATTAGGCTACAGGCCAGTCTAAACATTTTTTTTCAACTCTGAGTATCTTAAGTGTTTCCCAGTGTACTTCCCTCGCATGCAGGCATACACACACAAAATGAGAGAATAGTGAGGAAGTCGAGAAACAACCTTAGACACGAAGGACTGGAGTGAGGAAAAAGCATAGCCTACACTTGGAGAAATGTTAACTATTCACAGCACTCACCAGAAACTACTTGTAACAAGACCCAATTTTGTACCAGAACTCGGATCTTGTAAGCCAACTCTCCTTCCTCCTTACTACTTTTCAAACTGCAGCTGCCTTAACTAGCTGAGTTGACATTCTTCTAGTATAACATTATCCAGTAGAACTTCCTGCAGTGATGAATGGGCCCTACACTTACACTGTACAACAGCAGCCACGAGACGTGACTATTTGGCACCTGAAGGTTTTGTTTTAAATTTGCTAGAGGGCATGTGCACTAGAGAGAGACAGAGAAAGAGAAATCACACCAATAGGGCCTGGCCAAGCCACAGTCCCTTTTTTTGGGTGGGAAGGGGTAGTTTTTGCTATAGGGCACATGTGCTCACCAGAAAGAGAAAGAGAGAAGGCAAGAAATCCCCTCCCAGGGGGGGATGGCCATGCCACAATCCTGTCTCCATTCTCAGGATCTTGGGCATGTACATACACACACTCACCATGAGTGTAAGCCACCGGGTCCGGGACTCGAACTGCGGTCAACTACATGGGAATCCAGTGATATAGCCGTTAGGCCATCTGCTGTTCCCAAGCCACAGTTTCTTTATTTCTCCTCTTGGGATTTTGGGCATGCACACACACACCTGTCATTTTTAAAAAATATTTGTTTAATTTTTTTTTGTTCTTATATTTTAATTCTGAAGAAAGAGATAGAAAGTGAGAGAGCAAGCCACCAGGTCAGAGACTTGAACTGTGGTCAGCTATGTGGAAGTCCAGCATCTTAACCACCATGCCACCTGCCAGCCCCCCTGGCATGTTTTTTTCAAACTGCTGGGTCTGGGACTCAAACTGCACAGTCAGCCATGATGGATCTGACTGCCTTATAACAATCACTATGCCACTGTTGGGTCCAAACTTGAGTTTTAATTTCATTTCATTTTAACTAGCTACTCATGGCTAGTAGCTATGACAGAGTACAGCACAGGTCTAGGGAAACAGCACACAAAACAAACCTTCAATTTTAGATATCCCCTTTAGCCCTGTGACAGTTTGTTTCTGACTCATTATCACATGGGAAAGTAAATTACTCAGGGAGATGCCTTTTTCCCATCTCTTACAATTTAAAAAAAAAAAACTTTATTTAATTTATTCATTCATTTATTTTAATTTGACCAGAAAGAGAGAAAGTGAGAAAGCAAGCCGACGGGTCTGGGATTTGAACCACGGTCAGCCATATGGGAGTGCCCAGCACCTTAACCACCACGCCACCCGCTGGTCCCCCTCTTTTATAATTTTTTAAACATTGCTACTTCTCTATCCTACCTCCACACATTAAATGCTGTGTATTCAGACCTCACTATTACAGCTAATTATCCAACAAACAATTCATTTTCCCATCCTAAGTATCCACAAAGGTGCAATTCAGTGTTGCAAATACAGGCAACAATTTATATGTCTAATACTAAACTCCTGTAGTCATAGAAACGAAGGATTAAAAACCACTCTATGTCATTATAATATGCTCACTGCTGTTTATGTACTCGTTAAGTTTTGCCAACATTAAAAAGCTGACAACTTCACAAACTGTACCTACTGCAAAAGGGATTAATGCACCAGAAGAAGGATTTAAGGAGACAAAACAACAAAGACCTGGCAGAAATTAATTCCACCATGAAGCTTGAGTGCTGTAGGGAGTCTCTGGCTTCCTTCCCGCAGAAAGGTTCCTGAGAGAAGTCTGTATCCAGCACAGAGGGGAAGAATGCTGTCACCTTCCCATAATGAGCTGAGGATGACATGGCTCACTAAGCAAGTACTAGGGCACCTGGAGTGTGAGGCCCCGGCCTTCCAAAGAAGCCACTGGGGGGCAGCAAATTCCTGGCATTAGCTGGTTATTGAGTGGAGAAGGCTAAACCCAGCATCAGGGATCCTCAAAACAAGCACACACTGCTTAAAGGATTAGCTCCAGAGGAGCCCTGGGACAGGTGCCAGCTTGGCTCAGACAGAAATCATGTTTATATAGTTTAGGCAAGTCAGCCTTTGCACAAGACTCCCTGTTGTCAGGCAGGAATTTGCTGTATAAATCCCCAACTCATGACAATAGGAATGTCCCCCCACTGGTCTCAGATATGTGCCCTAAACCAAAGGCAACTGTGACTGTGACCATGCTCCCCGAAATCTTTATTGAGCAAGTATATGACCAAGGTTACGTCCTTGTCTGCTACTGCGTTTGGTGGAGAATAATGGTCAAAAAGGACACCACCTCACAGTTCTTGTCTTCGCTGCTGACCAATTCCAAACCTAAGGACAAGAAGCCCACAGGGTATGCCAAGCCAGCAGGCTCTTCTGGGCCCAGGATCACAATGTCTGGAGGACTCACAGAAGGGTTGTCTGAACCAATGCAGCCATCCTGCACATGAAGGAAAATCCATCAGGCCAAACCTGCCACTCTAGCCTGGCCTGGGTGCTGAGACCAGTCTGAGCACCAGAGTAGTTGCTTCCAGGCTGCTAAGGAACCAGACTGAGGTTGAAACAGCTTTTGTCCCAGAGTCTTCATTGATCCTCCACAGGAAGAAAACTGAAGTCCCCATGAGTACTAAGCTCTTCCTGAGACTTCAGGCCCACCAGGGGAGGCAGGCAGGAGAGAGGTGAGGAATGCACTATCCCAATGACCCACACCAAGGCAGCACGGAGTGTAAACGAAGCCTGGTGCCAGGGACAGAAGAGGAGGATGCAGCCTGGTGTGAGGTTTGCAGAAAAAAATGACCATTTCTAGCACCAGGGTGGCTTGCTTGGGTCTGCACAGCAGTCCCTCATGCAGGCCCTTACAGAGAGGACAAGCTACGTGATGACTTGGATCCATGAGATATTCTCCAAGCCACGGGGCTGAAAGAATCCAGGTGATCTGCCTGAATTCCAGAACGGTTTCAGCCCTCTTGAAGTTCGTACCAGAAACCCAGAGATTTACTTTCTATCAACTGGAAGAAAGACCTAAAGTCTCAAATAAAAGGATTATCCTTTAAAATAGCCATATTACCAGACATCTGACTCATGAATTCATTTACTTGGCCTTGCTAGACCTGAGCCAGGTGCTTGTAACATGTAACCTACCCAAAGTGTAGCAGGTACAGGAGTAGAAAGAAAAAGGTTACCTTTGCAGGTAAGATTCAACAGAAGATTGTGCTAAACTGAGCATAAAAGCTGTGGTCAGAATCTGACCCACCACCAGAGATACCAGGGAGGGCAGAAGGACTCAGTTTTATGATTTTTTTTTTTTTTTAATTTGCTACAGGGCATGTGTGCTTGCCAGGGAGGGGGAAAGCGAGAGGGAAAGTGAGAAAGCACCCCTCGTTGAGGCATGGTCACACCACAGTCCCTTCTCCATTTCTTCTCTTGGGATTTCTGGGCACACACACACACACCCACAAACACACGTACCTAGGTTGTTTTTGTTGTTGTTGTTTTTCCAAGCTGCCAGGTCCAGGACTCAAACCACACATCCATGTAGAATCCAGCCTCCTTAACCACCATGCTGCCAGCTGGCTCTAGTACTTTGAATTTTTAAATACAATTAACCTATAGCATCCTATAGGTGAATTAACACTAATGCTTGGCTAGAATCGGTGTTCTGGATTAAATAATATCAAAAAATAATGGAGTACAGGAGTGAATTTGGTGGCAGTGGTGGCCTGTCTGGTTCACAGCAGAGCTACCCACCTTCATTTGGAGCAATGAGGTTTTTCTCAGACCTCCAATGACCTACACCAACACAGCACGGAATGTACACAAATTCTGGTGCTTTGGGACCACTGCCTCCACCAAAGTGCCATGGCTCCACTTAGGAAGGATGGCATTTGGGTGGCCAAGACCAACTTGTTAGGGGAACAGGAAGTTCAGCTCCTTTTTTTAAGGACTACAACCATGAAGTGCAAATTTGATCCAAGCAAATTCAGACAGGTCAAACTTCTCACAGTGGATAACCTGTACAACACCAAGATCCTGCAGCTCCCCAAGGCACTGTGCAAGTTGAACTGGCTCGACTATTTCACCCTTGGAGGAAACAAACAGGCCCTGGAACAGGCAGCAACAGCTGACATGAATATCATAAAAACAAACTAACAGCAGAAGCTATTCAGACACACCTGAAATTTGCCAAAACACAAAAAGTAATATGAGTAAATGAAATGGTAACGAGAGAAGAAGAAAATAAACATAAAAATCTTCAAACTTCAAGAGTCAGACTCTTTTCCATCCAAAAAGAGAACCCAGTTCAGATATGGAAAAAGCAAAAGGTCAAGCCATTACAACACTGGTACCCCAGCTGTGGGCTAACTGGAGCTGTCTAGGGTGAAACCAACACCAGGTTTGACATGCTAGGCTTGATTCGAGGTATACTCCAGGAGCAAGAGAGCATAATGGCAGTCCTTTTGCTGACAGCAGAGGTCTTCCTTGCTGTGCCAGTGAGCAGCATAGGGTGGATACAATTACTGGACAGTGACTTGCTGAGGATCAGGTGGATCCGGAGGTCTTGAGAAACATTAAGAAGCTCTCTAGCCATCTTGCCCAAATCTACAGCAGCATATGGACCCACAAGTGAGAAGCCAAACTTGACAGCATAGCCCTTCAATGGGCACTTCTGGGACCCTGAAGTGATTTCTTCCCTGCAGGCTGATTGATTGTTGAGCGTGAAGTTCCAGAGCAGGGAACAGTGATCCTCTTGGAGTATTCAGGAAGCAGGAGATACACTGTTCCAACATCAGTTAAATGAAGCTTTGCTGTTCATGCTTCACCCAACCAAAAAATAACAATAATGGAATACAACCCTCTCTCCAGGGAAGGATTCTAAGCCAGAGAATGCAATGGTAGCCTTTTACATCTCTAAAGCCAGGTGCTTTGACCTGGTCAGGGGAAAACCTCCCATAAAGCAGCTCTTCTGGAAAAACCCCTGGTTCAAACCTCAAATACCAAATTCAAAAACCACTAGCCATAGTTATCACTGTCTCTTTCCCCACTGCAATTTACCAAGCAAGTATTCATAGGAGTTGTATCTACTCACCAGGAGCAAAATGACCATTCCCCTGTTCCCCAACCTACCCTCACCCTTGGAAGTCCTCAGCTTCAGGCTGGCCCCAGACCCTAAGTCTCCTCCCATAGCTTACCAATGGGAGCATTGGCCCTGAGTCCCCTTTTATAATACAGGTCAACAGGCTCCAGTAGGGGGGGGGGGTGGGTCACACAGTCTTATTATCTGGACTTTGGTGGCTGTGCCAGCCTTCTGGGCCTCAGGGAGGTCACTTCTGGCCTCTAGTCAGTTTTCCTCTCAACCTTTCTCTCTTCAGCTACATCTAGCTCAGTCAGGACACAAAAGCAAAGCTGCTGGATGATTCTGGTGATAGCAGCTAAAGGAAAATAGAAAAACACAGGATTTAGCAAACACAGTGACAACCCCAACCTGAATACCACAAGACCGACTGGAGCACATCTGTGGCTCCCTCCCCACCTGTCATTCCCAACAAGCCCCACTGTCCTCCATCCCTTGCCCAATCGGAGTCTGAAGCATGACTCCTTGTCTGCCCAGGTGGACTGCACTGCTAGGAGCTAATGCTTAACCGTCCAAACACTAAGGTTAGGACTATAATGATCATGTCAAGATCAAAAGGAAAATCATGGGGCAGCCAGGTCTCATGGCCTCCACAAAGTATGGGGGAAAGCTATTAGCCACCATCCACACATACATACACCCATATCCACTAAGTGATGGACAAAGAGAGGCTTACCCAGGACATTCCGAATGAAGAGTGGCCTCCGGGACTCTGGCAGGTAAACACCCAAGAAGTAGACAGGGACCCCAGAGAGGGCAATCCCGATGCCGATGAGAGAATTGATGGTGTCACTGAAGAGGGGCACAATCACCAGAAATACAGAACATATGCAGAACACGATGGGAAAAAACAGGCTCAGCTGAAAGAAGAAAGTAGGGTGGAATGAGAAAACAAGGCAGGGGCAAGAGGACACCACAGGGAAAAGGCATAACCTCCTAGTCTACCCAGAACTTCTGACCTTGAGGGGCCGGGGCCGGTCTGGCTCCTTCCAGCGAAGGTAGAGCTGTCCAACAACAGACAGGCCTACGAAGAACCAGTAGCTGAAGCTGAAGTAGTTGATGAGCAGGAAAACATCCTCCACAGTGAGGTAGATGAGTGTCATAGTGCACTGTTGGGGAGGGAGAACACTGTCACCATGGCCTACCCCGGGAGACCGCACCATCTAACAGTGCCACATCTGATACCTTTACCAGACTGCCTCCAGTACTTTTTCAGTGACCCTCTGGCATTAGACAGGTCCTTTCTCCCCATGATCCTTCAAGGTGGCATCTCTCCCTCTTCTATTGGGGCTTCTCCTGCACCCAATGCCTCCCTTCTCTTTGCAAGCACTTCAGTAACAAGTCAGAGTCCTTTCCCCTTCTGATGGCAGACAGTGAGGCCTTCTAACCCTGTGCAGAATTCACACTGTACCCTAGGGAAGTGCTCAGAGCTGGATCTTGACTACCTGGCATATAAATGAGGGAAATACTTCCAGAACTATCTCACTGTCCTGGAACTTTAGAAATGCAGATTCGCAAGACAAATCCACACTGATGGAGAGGTGTGACAGAATTTCCCTCTGGAACAAAAGAATCCTAGAGTTCAGGGGTCAGGGACTAGAGTCCTAGAACAAGGTCAGATTTGCTTAAGCTTCAAAGCGAATCATCAATAGAATTCCCCTACCTGTCTTTTCATCCCCAGCTATCAACAAAGGATTTAAAACAAAGGGAGCCCATTCTGCAGAGACAGGGGAGGGAAGGATTTAAAACAAAGAGAGGCCATTCTGCAGAGACAGGGAAAGACACTGTTTTAAGAGGAGAAAAGAGGGGGCCCAGCAGCTTGCTTTCTTACTTAGCCTCAATCTCTCACTCTGTCCCTCTCTGGTCAAATTAAAATAAATATATAAAAGTTAAATAAAATAATTTTTAAAATAAATCAATAAAGAGGAGAAAAGTGAAGTGAAAGATAGCTAACTTAAAAGACATCAGATCTCTCCTAAATTTATAATTTGACACTGTCCCAAACAAAATATTGGGAGGATTTTTCAGGTTTGTTTGTTTGTTTGTTTGTTTTGAGAAAACAATACCAAAGGTCATCAAGACAAATAAACAAATGTGAAAATGATCAGAAAAATCCTGGGAGAAAAAAAATACAGTGAACAACCCCTCATTCCCTCTGTAGTTCTCAGATAGTAGATATAAAGCTAAAGTAATGGGACTTGATACTGATGAAGAGAAGTAGTTAAAATGATACATCTAAGGGACATACAACTGAACCTGGCACTTATTAAGCACCCTAAAAGTTGGCTACTATTATTTTTGTATGAAAAGTTTGCAGGACCAGGAGATGCCTTAATGGTTACATTGCTAGACTCCCACATAGTCGACTGCAGTTCAAGTTCCAGATCCAGATGCTTAAAACTCACGCTGGTACCTGTGCTTGAGTGCCCAAAATCCCAAGAAGAGAATGGAGGAGAAGGGACTGAGGCATGGCTATCTCTCCAGGGGTGATTTCTCTCTTTCTATCTCTCTGTCTCTGGCGAGCACACATGCCCTATTGCAAAAATCTCTCTCTCTCTTTTTTTTTTGGAGAAGTTTTTGCTATAGGGCGCGTGCACCCGCCAGAGACAGAAAGCAAGAAATCACCCTCCGGAGGGGATGCCCACGCCACCCTTCTCCTCCATTCTCTTGGGAGCTTGGGGACGTAGGCACACGTGCCCAGCGTGAGTTTAAGCCACCCAGTCCGGGACTCAAACCGCAGTCGACTACACGGGAGTCCAGCGACATAGCTATTATGCCAACTGTTGGTCCCTAGCAAAAATCTCTCTTAAAAAAAAAAGTTTGCAAACTAAAAAATTTGATTCTTCAATAAATGATATTGGTATGACATGCTAGTCATTCAAGAAAAAAATTCCTCACCTTAATACAACTAAATATAAACTAGAGATAAATCCAAAACTTTAGCTTAAGTAATAAAACCAGAAAATATTAATAGATGAAAAGAAGAAAAGAAAAAAATTGTTTTTCAAATCTTGTTTCTTTTTATTTCTTTTTTTTTTTTGGAGAGGTTTTTGCTATAGGGCGCGTGCGCTCGCCAGACAGACAGAGACAGAGAGACAGAAAGCGAGAAATCACCCCCCAGGGGGGATGGTCACGCTGCAATCCCTTCTCCTCCATTCTCCTCTCAGGATCTTGGGCATCCACGCACACACACCCGGCGTGAGTTTTAAGCCACCGGGTCCGGGATGCAAACCACAGTCGACTACATGGGAGTCCAGAGACATAGCCATTACGCTAACTGCTGGTTCCCAAGAGGTTTTGTTTTGTTTTGTTTTGTTTTTTAATGTTTTTCAAATCTTGAAGCAAGGTCTTTCTCAGGGTTTCTGCTATATATATAAGGGGAGGTCTTCAAAAAGTTTGAAGGGGCCAGCAAGTGGCGTGGTGGGTCGACCATGTGGGAATCCAGTCCTCAATCACAACAAATAAATAAATAAATGCTTTTAAAAATTAAAAGTTTGTGGAAAATGCTTATTAAGAAAAAATTGCATGAATTAAAAAATGTTTTGAATCAAAATAACTTGTACTTTAATTCCATTTTCCATGTACTTTTTGAAGTCCCCATAATGCAAATTAGAAGGAGCACTACACAGGTAGGTCCAAGCCCCACCACTTCCCAACTAGCACTTACATTGAACAATAAAGCTGGGATGGGTGTAAAACGTTCAACGTGGATCATGGACAGAAGGTCCGGGAGGTGGCCCTCACGGGAGCCCACAAAAAACAATCTGGAGGGACAAGAAATATGTCAGCGGCATCCTTTTACTCAGCCATACAGTCATACTCCTCACTCAGACAAAGTAGGCTCAGAGACCCAGAAAAAAGCAGTCTCTCAGGAACATCTCATACCCTCTATGCATGCCCAGCCCAACCTACCCATTTACCCACAGATGTCTCCACCCTCCTCAACCATGGGCACTCAGAAATGTCCTTCCTCACCATTACCCCTGGATAAGCCCAGGCTCTCAGCTTGAGAACCCACCATCACTCAGACACTCCCACTTCTCTCAACCACAGTTACTGCACCATTATTTGACAGATACCTCATCCTATCATCACCCACTGACACTCCAATTCATCTAACCATGCATACCCTACTCTCCATCCCATACATTTACAGCCAGCAGAAGAGCTTTTTAAAGTCAGCCAGGGGGTGACAAGCAGGTGGCGTAGTGGTTAAAGTGCTGGCCTCCCACATAGCTGATTGCAGTTCAAGTCCTGAACCTTGTAGTGTAAAAACACTTTGGGTGTGTGTGAGTGTGCATACATGCCCAAAATCCTGAGAGGAGAAGGGATTATCTACGTTATAATCATCCCCATTCTGGGGGGTGATTTCTCACTTTCCCTCTTACTCTCTGTCTACCTCTCATGAGCACATGCACCCTAGGGCAAAAACCTAAAAAAAAAAAAAAAAGAAAGGCAGCCAGGGCCCAGCCAGTGGCAGAGTGGTTAAGGTAGCTGGATCTCATAAAGCTGACTGTGCAATTTGAGTCCAGGACCCAACAGCTTGGAAAACACAATGGATATGTGTATGTACATGCCAAAAAATCTCAAGAAGAAAATGAAGAAGGGATTATGGCATGGCCTTCCCCTCTGGGGGGAAGGGGGTGTTCCTCACTTTCCCTCTGTTTCTGTCTCTTTGTCTTTCCAGCAAATGTACATGCCCTAAAGCAAATTAAAAATAAATAAACAAAATAAAAAAGGCAGCCAGATGTGTTTATGCCCTCCACATATCTTTCCCAAGCTTCTGATGTATGATAGGCCATGGAGAGTCTCAGGGGGGTTTCAAAGAGACAACTCTAAAACCACAGTTTCCTCTCTGTATCTAAAGAGTTCTGACTGGGAAAAAGAACAGTGGAAAAATGAAATGTCACCTTGGGTAGTCAGTAGCACTTACTAGGATTGAGGGCAAGCTGGGGAAATGCAAAGTTTTGCAAGAGTGGAGCACACCTGGGGTGGGAAGAGTTAGAGTTTGCCGGAATGAGTGGGTACATGGCAACTCAGCATGTGCAAAGGCCAGAGAGAGTTGGAAGTGTGAAGAAGCTTGGCCTTATTGAAGGTTAATGCTACAACACCTACAGTCCCCGGAGAAAGCGTGTGAGGAAAGGTGTTAGGAAGAACCTGCATATAAGACCATGCTGCGCAGTCTGAACAGACACTGGGAGCCAGCTGTGGCTTTGAAGTAAGGGCCTGGCAGGATTTGATGCCTGAAACTGGTGGCACCATGGAGGCCGCACTCAAGCAGGGAGAGGTTAGAATAGGGAGGAGGCCGGACAAGAAGGTCACTCACAACTATCCCATAGAAGAGGAGGTCAGAATAAGGAGGGGGCACCCTGGCCAAGGAAGGAAATGACAGATACGACAACCTCAATCAAATTTTTGTTCCAAGCACTTCAGTAACATGCCAGACTGATGGCAGGCACTGAGGAACTCCTCACTTCAATACACCAGCCTCAACGTGTACCACACTGTGCCCTAGGGAGGTTCTTAGACCTGGTACTTAGAACTTAGACCAATGACCTGGCTCACAAATGGGGAAAATGCCTCCAGAACCTGTATGTTGTGGGTATGTTTATGTGTGTGTGTGCACGTGTACACACATAGGTGCATGCACATGCATGTACATGTTTGAGCTTAGGGAAAAGGAAAGACACCAAGGAAAAAAATCAAGATGCTAAAAAGCTAAACAACGAAGACTGATGGACCACAACAGCACAACTGGAAAGGAATCCCATGTCAGGAGCACAAGAAGTCTGACATACTTGTGGGCAATCCAGACAGAGCCACAGGAGTTGATAACATCACCTGGAAAGGTGGCCCGGGGCAAACTGTTGGAGTTGGCTCTTGAGGTTAGTAACTGGTACTAAGTAGAGAAAAAGATACAATAGAGGGATCCTGAAATGAGAAAGGAAGTCAAAGTACAAAGGTAAAAATAGCTTCAGGGGCAATTAAAAAAAAAGTGAAGAGGGTATCACAGGCAGAAACAACTGTGCATTATCTTGACATCACTGCAGTCTCCTTTACGTGCTGGTCTAGATTCTTACTTTCCAAGTCCCTCCTCCCTCACCCCCTTCCTGTCAACGCCACAAAATAGCTGAGTACAGGGAGAGGCCATTTAATATTTCTAGTATTGGGGATGACTAGCAAAGGGAATTGAGATGTATAAGGGCAAGGCTATGGGAAGCACCATCTTGGCGGGGCAGCCTACAAAAAGCCCTATCAGGTACAGTCCTGGCTACACCAGCCTGGGGTGCAGGATGAAGATGCTATGTTTTTTTTTAAAAGAAAAAAAACCAAGGGCTTGATCTATCACGCTGGTTACAGCAGAGAAGCCCCAAGTACATGAACTGGTGTGTGAGAGCTAGTAAGAAAAATGAAATGGGACAAAACTATTTCTTTCCTTTTTATCCTAGAAGGCAAGTGTGCTCACCATAGATAGAGAGAGAGGAAAAGGAGAAAGGTCACACCTCGAACCCTGGGGAATGGTCACTCCTCAAACCCTTCTCTTCCATTTTGTCCTTCTTTCAGGACTTTGGGCATGCATACACACTCCCAGCATGTTTCTCAAGCCACAAAGTCTGGGACTCAAATTGCATGGTCAGCCAATGGAATCCAGCTCCCTTAACCACCAGGCCACAAAGCCAGTCCACAATTTCTTTTACTGATTCATCTTTTATGATTGATCATTCATCAAATGCTCATCATACTCTGACCCTAGGGGACAACAAATATTTACAGTGTGAGCAGAAGAGAGTTCAAGAAAGAAGGCTCCTTCTCAGATATCAGATGTCAAAGTCATAGAAATAGTTTCAGAATTATGAAGTAGTCGGCCTCACTTGCTTCAGAGGTCCAGTACAATAGACTAAAAGCAGTCCCATTCATGGTGGTGCATGCTTCTAAGACTCTGTACTCTACAGACCGGGAGTACAGGGGAGGCCCAGATTCAATTCCCAGTTCAACCTGGGGGCCAGTCATGGTAGTGTACACCTGTAACCCCAGGAATTTGGGAAGCTGAGGCAGGACAACCACAAGCTTGAGGCTGGCTTCAGCAACACAGCAAAGCCCTATCTAAAAAAGGGGAGATTTGGGAACCAGCAGTTAGCGTAATGGCTATGTCGCTGGACTCCCACGTAGTCGACCACGGTTCGTGTCCTGGACCCGGTGGCTTAAAACTCACGCCGGGCGCGTGTGCACGCATGCCCAAGATCCCGAGAGGAGAATGGAGAAGGGATTGCGGCGTGACCATTCCCCCTGGGGGGTGATTTCTTGCTTTCTGTCTCTATGTCTCTCTCTGTCTGTCTGGCGAGCGCACGCGCCCTATAGCAAAAATCTCTCAAAAAAAAAAAAAAAAAAAGGGGAGATTTGTTGGGGCCGGCAGGTGGCATGCTGGTTAAAGGCGCTAGACCCCCATATGGCCGACCGTGGTTCAAGTCTCAGACCTGGTGGACTGCTTCTCCTTTTCCCTCTCTCTCATTCTTGCTTTCACTCTCTTATCAAATTAAAATTAAAATTAATTAAAAAAAAAAAGAGCCCATGTGGTGGCACACACACCTGTGGTACCAGCTGGGTGGCTGAGGCAGGAGGATTACAACAGCGAGCCATTCTTTTAAAGAAAAAAAAAAGAAGAAAAGAAGAGAGAGAAACTTGAAAGCAGAGTAAGAAGGAGGTACCCTTAATAAGAATATTTTTCAGGCAAGAGAAGCCAAACTACAGCAGGTGGAAAAGTGAACAGAAGGTGAAATGCAGATGACTCTCAAGAATGAGATTTGACTTTTTTGTGCCTTTCACAGGTGGAGATGGGAGAAGTTAGTGGAGGGCTGGCTCCGAGAAAAGACTCGCCAGAAAGAAAGACCAACTGAGAAAGCAAAGAGCTGGAGAAGATGGGAAGTGCAGGAGCCCTGAGACAGAGCAGAGTCAGCCTAGAAAAGCAGACAGACCTGCTCCTTCCTCTCAAGTGACAGGAAGGACATGTGCTCTTATAGCTGTGTCCCCACAGAGAGAAGGGACCACGACTACCAGATGGCCACAATGAAGGAGGGGCAGAGTCATCCTGTACAAAGCACCAGAATCTGGTACACAGCAAGTGCTCATCCATCAATCGCTGAAGGAATGGATCCTGAGGCTGCAGTATAACCCACAAGAAGCCTGGCACCTGGTCCCAGCCAGGGTCACTATTCTAAAACGACTGTCTTCCTCCCCTGTGCCCTTTACCAACCTGTCCTCAGCTCAGCTAGAAACATGAGCTACCAGCACACAAGTGTTTACATAAAGACACACACACACACAAACACACACACACACCTGTATGCCCATGAGAGGGAGAAAAGAGAAGCTCTTAAGTCTAGAGCCCCGGAGAATTAAATATTATAGTCTGTTATGGGTGAAGAAGACACAGTACCTTGATGAAGCAAAGATAGATGCATTGAGGCCCCCAAAGCAGGACAGGGCGACAGCAATGGGGATGGTCCAGCTGAACATGCCAAACGTCTTGTCGGCAAATGTCTGAGGGCAGAGCACAGGAAAGACACTGAACACGGGAAAGGGTTTCATGATCCTCCTGCACCTGTGATCTCAGGACAAATGCGGTCACTGGTGAGCAGCCCTCTCTCTGGTCTAGACCCACTGCCTCGTCCTGCAGGGCTGACACAGCTGCAGAAACTGAGACTGGGCTGTTCAGAGAGGCTAAGTATTGTAGATGACAAGCACAGGGGACCCAGGGGACTCACCACAGCCACGGCGTCGCTGCTAAGGACATCTGAAACGCTCAGCACGGTGTAATAGGCCACATTTGTCAGGATGTAGATAAGCGTCACAATTGGCATAGAAATCCCAATGGCCAAGGGCAAATTTCTGTCAGGACAAGTGAGAGAGGACCATCTAGAACCAAAGTCTCCTTGGGATCGATGTTCAAGTCTCCACTGGGATGTTCCTAACATTTAACATTCAGTGGCCTCCAGGTCTCTGAGGCAGGTTCATCTTCCCCTAGGTAGTCTAGGGTGGGTATTTATCTCATGTTCTGGGCTCTTTCTTTTAAGATATATATATATATATGTGAGAGAGAAAGAGGACTTTGTCTGTGAAAATAGCACATGATCAATATTTGATCTTCACCACAGTAGGGTCAATGTGTCCCACAGTGTTCCACAATCCTCCTGCATCTATGGTTTGGGGACAAATGCAAGGAATAGTGTCCTCTAGAGCTGAGAGGCCAGGCTGGGAACCTGGCTGGCAAAAACAAGCTCTGGCTCCACAGGCTGCAGTCTCGGCACCTGAGTGCAAGGACCTCACATCTAGTCCCAGCTGGGTGTGCTACTGCCACAGAAAGACCCCTCCCCTCTGGGAAGAACTCTGGGGATCCTCTGGTACGACCATAAGGACGGGGAGCCAGGGGTTTTCCCACCTTCACTCACTCCCTTCCTTGTTTCCAATCCTCCTAGTTGGAGAGGAGAATAGACGGGAGGAGACCAGAGAGGAGGGGGTTGGAGAGGGAGAGGGTACGTGCTCACTACCAGCAGAAGTTCCAGCCAAGTTGGGGAGTAAGAGTGTGATCCGCCTTTACCTTTCTGGGTTTTTGATTTCTTCTGTTACAAAATTAAGGGTGTCCCAACCTGAGTAAGAGAAGAGGGCAGAGTAGAGGGCAAGAGATAGGTTTCCCACGTTCCTGGAGGAACCCTCAAAGGCATCCCGAAAGTGCTCAGAGTATCCTGTGTGGGTTTAAACAGGAGGGAGTTCAGGAAAAAGGAGAAGAGGGAGGCAGGACGGGAGGTATAAGGAGAAGAGGAAGGATGGGGGTGATAAGAAAGAAGGCAATATGGAAAAGGAAAAAAGGGGGCGGAAAAGACAGGGAGGAACATGAAAAGAAAGGAAGGAAGAACAAGAGGGCAAGGGAAAGAAAAAAAATAAATAAATAACTTAACACCAAAGGAACAACCACCAGCTCTCTGCATTTACCACCCCAACTACTCCTTCAGGAAAGTTCGTATTCTTTCAGTAAAACTAGACAATCTCAAGAAAACAAAGACGCCTCGGGTGTGACACTTTTTCCAAGACTAAGGAATTTTCATTTCCTGCAAGTGACCTCACAACTGGCCAACTCTTCTTCTTATCTTTTTAAAGAACTCCATTTTCACATAAAGGAGTCATTCTGCATTAACACTTAGCCCTTCTTGGGAAATGACCTCTCTTAGCCCAGTCTGCCCTATCGGTCTCATGGAGCAGACTCTGCTGCTCTCTTGCAGTGGCTGTCATTGCATGGGGCAAGATGTCAGGATATGAAGAGCTGGGAGTCACCTCAGGTCTGGGATAGGCCTGGGCCATATCCACCCTGTAGGAAGGCCAACCCAGGCCCAGAGACCTATCATTCTTTTAGGTGCCTCCAGAGACCATAGACCTGAAAGCCCAGAGACAGAGAACTCTTGGACACACTGGGATGGTTTTTGTTTTGTTTTATTTATTCCCATTTTTTTGTTGTTGTTTGCTTAGGTTTTAGCCACAGGGTACATGCACTCACTGGAGAGACAGAGAGAGGATAAGTGAGAAGTCACTCCCCAGAGGGAACAGCCATGCCACAACCCTTTCTACTCCGTTCTCCTCTTGGGATTTTGGGCATGCATGCACAAGCACCCAGCATGATTTTTAAGCTAACTGGGTCTGGAGCTCGAACCACAGTAGGCCATGTGGGAGTCCAGCACCTTAACCACCATGCTACCTGCTGGCCCCACACACTGGGGTTTTTAACAAAAACCGTAATAAAGAAGCCTGTTGTGCCGCCCTGTAGAAAATCTAGACCTAGTTTTTAGTGTGGCAAAAAGGGCTTTTGTGCAGTAAGAGAATGAAAAGCAGAGACCTCTGTTCTCCAGGGTGTCAGTCAGTACACACAGCACTCATTTCCTAAGGCACAAGTCTGTGGTGAGGATTACTCAATACCCCAATTGGCCCTGAAGATATTCCCAAGACTCCAGGGACAGCTAGGTGGCTGGCTGTACAAACGACATAACTGCACAAAGGTTCTTGACTAGCTGCCTAAGAATCACCCTGGTCACTTCTTAAAAGCAGGACTTTTCTGACTCCAAACCCACCAGAATGTGATCCAATAGGTCTGAGATGAGGGTGTCAGCTCTTCAAGTGATTGTCAACACAGCCTCATTTAGAAATCAATGATCTAGAGTACTGGGGATATATCTGGCTAAACACATGCCAGGACTTCTCTAAGGGACTCAGGAGATCTTGGTAAGTAGGCCTGTTCCCCTCGCTGCCACTCTGCTCTGATCCAGGAATGGGAACCTTTCTAAGGCCAAAATGCAGGAAAGACAGTGCCAATTTCACAGAATTTTCATATTTTCCTGAAAACTGACTTTGGAAGGAAATGCTAAACACAAATAAAGATAAAAAATAAAGTTTGCAAAGTAACCACCCATTTCCATACCTCACCCCTCCCTTACACACACACACACTCTGCCCCTGGCCCCTCTTAAGGAGGGCCAAGTCTTTCTACTCACTTCCTGGTAGTTACAGGCCAGAAAGAAAAGCCACTCTATCCCTACTGATCATCCTTATAACCCAAGTTTCAAGAGTCCCTATACTCTCAGTTGGCTTCCTGCAATGCTCCCAGCTTCCACAGAAGGAACGCAGTTCTAAGAGACAAGCTGACTCATTTCTAGTGGGCCAGGCCAGCCCAGCCCAAACAACCCGGGAAGAGACTTATTCCCATCCTATGCACTCACTGACACACCCTAGCACATGCACAGAAAGAGCTGCACATTACAGCTAACAGTCCCTAGGTCCTCCTCAGGGAATCCATAGGAACTCCTAGAGACATTCACCCTCCTTCCCACCCTGAGCCGCTCTTACCCTGGCACAACTTAATATGGCCCATGACTATGATGGCAATGAGCGCTAGGACCTTGGCATATGTGAACGCATCCTGAACACGTGTGCCCCACTTGACATAGGCGCAGTTCACAAACGTCAGCAGACCTAGGAGGAAAACCATAAAGTTACTGGTAAGCTGGAGCTGTGGGCACAGAGGCCCAATCTCTTTTTTACAAAGAGCATCATTTTTGCCCTTTCTGCCTAAGGGGTCAATGACTAGTAAGAACTAGGAGAGGGGCTGGCAGGTTGCATGGTGGTTAAGGCACCAGACTCCCACATGACTGACCATGGTTCGACCCCCAGACCTGGTGGCTTGCTTTCTCACTCCCCCAACTCCTCTCTCTGGTCAAATTTTTAAAAATAATAATAAATAAAATTAAATAAGCAATTCTTAAAAAAAAAAAAAAGACAGACCAGGAGATTAGGCAAAGGAGGAGGGGGCACCCTGTATCATCCCAGGTGAGAGCACCCATCAATGTTCTATCACTGTTGACATTCAAAGATACAAAGCATGTGTGAACACATATTCATGCATTCTGGCAGCCAGAATCATCTTTGGAAATTCCCCCCAGGCCCAGGAATAGCTGATTTTATTCACTCTTCCTCACTGAGACTCTCAAGGTTCCAAACCATAAAAGGTACCAGACTTCTCCAGGACCATGTTAGAACTGAAATGAGAGAGACTCAATAAAGGGGATGTATTTGTGAGTTTTTGTGTTTTTTTTTTTTTTTTTTTTTTTTTTTTTTTTTTTTGCTATAGGGCATGTGCACTCATGGAGAGAGAGCATGTGAGAAAGCATTCCCCACAAGGGATATTTAAATGCAGGTGGCAGGTCACCTAGGAATTAGGGGACAATGTTTTCCAGGTAAGTGTGAAAAATAAAAAGTCTGCTATGTGTCTTACAATTTCATACACATCTTCTCAATCAATTCTCATAACATCAAAATACAGATACTTCTTTTTCCATTTTATAGATGACGATACTGAGGCTATGAGATGTTAACTTCCATTCCCAAGTTCACATGGACCTCACCAACTGTCCCACCTCATTCCTATACAAACCTCCCAACTCTCAGTGAGGTCCATGGAAAAGTGAGCCCATTTGAGTGTTCCTTAGTCTCAGGTCAGCACGCTGGCCTCAAGGTCCAGCCCCTCATGCACCTTAAATGACAACCAGGCCCTGTGCTGAGAAGTCCAACACTTTGCCTCTGCTGAACAAGGACTGCTTGAATCCATAGGTAGGACACAATAGGAATATCCAAGGGGTTCTACAACAGGAAGGAACACAGTGACACCTCTAAGTAATTCCCCTAACCTCCAAAAATAGAACTTTATTTTTCCTTAATTTTGCTATAGTATACAAGTACTCATGAGTGTGGAGTGGTGAAGAAAGTAAGAAAGCATCCCTCCTCCCCTCCCCAGGGGGTATAGCCTCTCTTTAATCCTTTCTCTTTCTTTCTCCTCTTAGGACTTTAGGTACTCACACACATACACCTGCCTGTTTTTCAAGCCACGAGGTCTGGAGTTTGAACCATGTAGTCAACTATGTGCGATACAGCTGCCTTAACTACGAAGTCACCTGGCTGGCCCCTAAAATAGAACCCTGAGGTGTACCTCAAATGTTATTACAAAATTTGGGCTCAACCTCTACCTATTTCTATTCATTTTGCATTCTTTCCTTCAACCAAACTCTCCCTTCCTTACTCTTATTTTTTTTTTAAAGGGGACCAGCAGATGGCATAATGGCTATGTCACTGAATTCCCATGTAGTCGACTGCGGTTTGAGTCCCGGACCCAGTGGCTTAAACTCACACTGGGCTTGTGTGCATGCGTGCCCAAGATCCTGAGAGAAGAATGGAGGAGAAGGGATTCTGGTGTGGCCATACCCACTGAGGGGTAATTTCTCTTTTTTTCTTTCTCTGTCTTTCTGGCGAGCACCCACGCCCTATAACAAAAACCTCTCCAGGAATAAAAAGTTTTTCCCTCCTTCTACCATAGGCAACAACAATTCCCACTTTGAACGTATAGCTCAGACCCTACTTCCACTATAAAACTTTCCCCAAATACACCACCAGTCAGTACCTCACTGAGTTTTCTCTCCTGAACCTTATGGTATTCACACTTCATAGCACTGCCGAACAGTTAATGCTATGGTCATGTGAACACATGTCTTAAGGTTATCTCTCTCAGATGTTTGGATTGTGCTTTCCCCAAGGCAATCACAAAAACAACAGAAGTATGCTATTTTCTTAAGTTTCTGGCCAAGAGAGCTGACGAGTCCTGCCTGAGATCAAGGTGGTGATGACTTCCCCCTTGAACCACAAATTCCCTGGGGCAAGGCAACTGGCAGAAAAGTTGGGTGTCTGTCTACTCAAATGGAGAGGAGCACCTAGGGTCAGCCTGTGGAAATAAACATGGGAGGCTGAACTGAACAGCCTCTGTGGATCTTTAAGAGCTTCCATTCAATACACTGGCAAGTAACAGGCACTTACTGGTCAATCATATGAGGCAGGGGCTGGTGGGGAACAGTGGTCAAGGGGGAGGGGAGAAGAAGCCCAAAGGAATGGGTGTTGCTCAGAGCTTGTGGGGGACCTACCCTGATTAAATCTCTCTGTATGGAGCTAAGCTTAGGTCAGCTAACCTAAGGATTACCTAGTTAATAGCCACCAATAATCCACAGATTCCTGTGCAAGTTAGTAAACATATCTGCCCCTTCTTGGGAATCGCTCTCCCTTCTCTACCATGGCTGAACCAGCCAGACCCTGGACCCCTGCTAAGCCTCTTAGATTGTCTCTCCAAAGAAGATAGTCAGAATGCCAAAAGTCTAAAGAGTCTGAATCTAACAATAGCAGGCAAAAGAGATAAGAGCCACGTACCAGCCCTTAGTAACAGAGGAACAGAAACCACACGTAAGCAAAGGAAGGAAGCAGGACTACAAAAGAAGGGCAGACAGGAGAAGGTACACAGCTTCAAGAAAAGGATTGACAGAGAAAGACAAGAAATATACAAGGTGTGGATGTTAAAGGCAGCTGGATCCCATATGGTCGATGACATGGTTAGAGTCCCAGATCCAGAGGCTGGGGGTAGAGGGAAAGCCCCAGGGCTGGGGAGAGGGGATTGCTCATTGTCTCTCTCCCTCTCTCTTTCTCCAGCAAGTACATGCACCCTACAGCAAACTAAAAAAGAAAAAAGAAAAGAAAAGAAATACATAGAGAGAGACAGAGAAGAGAGAGAGAGAGACAAGAGGCAAAGGAGGCAGAGACAGAGAAAGGGACAAAAGGACAGAGAGACAAAAGATGAATGGACATACACACAGAGGATGAGAATGACAGTATCCCAGCTGTGCTCGCTGTGCTTCTTGTCTGTATCCCCAAGATGGGGAAGAGAAACTGCTACCCTCCTCAGCCCTACACTTAGGCCCTCATCTCTTCTGCACCTCCTCCATCCCTCCACCCTGCTACAGAGTTCCCCCACAGCTTGGTCCTCTGCACACAAGTAAATAATGCAGAGTGGAAATTCAGTGACCATGTGTTAAACTGGTGAATGAAGGCAGCTCCTCATGGAAATCCCTTCAAAGCCTCTTCTGAAAGACCAGCTGAAAATACAAAAGCACCTAGTCAGAGTAGCTGCCTCTAGGGTGGAAGACTAAAGATCTAGAAAGGGAGATAGACATTTTCCACTGTAAACTTTGCTTATATGTTTATTTCCCAAGAAGAAGAATAATTAGCAACAATAGCCAGAAGGCAGGGCCAGGGGTAGGGTGGATAAGTAAGGTGTCTAGGGCACAAAATTTAAGGAAGCACTCACTTTCCAGGGACCAAATATAGTAATCAGAGAGTAGGTACACCCTTAAATACTGGCCCTAGGCACTTTGCTTGCCTCATCCTACTCAGCCCTGCCAGGGAACAGACAGCTACCAAGCAGAAGCCAAGTCCTTATTTTCCTTATTCTAATTAAGAAACAAAATTTCACCATCTGATCCCCACCTCCATGCTTCCAGGAACTCCCAGCCCCATCTAACTCAGCACAGAGTGTGTCAGAGTTCAAAAAAGGAAAGCAGAGCTGGGCCTTGAGACCAGGTTCAGATTCAACTACCACAATCAAAACATCTAGAGGCCGACAGGTGGCGTAGTGGTTAAGGGTGCTGGACTCCCACATGGTCAACCACAGTTTGAGTCCCAGACCTGGTGGCTTGCTTTCTCACTTTCTCTCTCTTGCTCTCTCTCTTACTCTGTCCCTCTCTGGCTAAATTAAAATAAATAAAAGTTAAAAAATAAAATAATTCTTTAAAAAAAAATCTAAATCTCTGAGTCGGCATGTGCGTGGTTGTTACCATGCCACCACCTGGGATTTGAATCACAGTTGGCCACGTGGAAGTCCAGCACCTCAACTGCCATGATACATGCCAGACCCTAGGCACCACCATTTAACTAGGTTTTCTTCCCTGGGGGAAATGTTACACATAAGACCTCAGGAAGTAACTTTGAAGGGACACTTTGCCTTTCTTTGTCCTTCCTGTTAGCTACAATACAGACATGACAACTGGAGCTCAAGTAGCCACCCTGGACCACAGCCTAGAAATCAGACTGTGAGGATGACAGACCGACAAGACAGAGGGAAGGAAGCTGGCTACATGAAGATGTTTTGAAATTGTCCAGTCCACATGATCTACATTTAACATGTGAAAGAAATGAACTTCAAGATGTTTGAGCCAGGCTGCATTGGGTTGTCTGTTGTTTGAAATCCAAACTAATCTGTAATAATACTTGTGTCCTCTGATGGAACTGCACTTCTCATACTCTCCTTCTGATGAGGAGACAGCCTGGCAACCTGGAATTGTAGTCCCAGCTATGCTCAGTCTCAGCTCTCTTCTCCCACAGGCAACAGAGAACGTAGGGAAACCTTCCAACTCCTCCCACAAACAGGCTGGGTGTTAGCAAGGGGCATTCAAGGACAGAGGAGTACAATCCTAAATAACAAGAACACACACTTAATATAAAGGCAAGAGAAGAAAAACAGAAAAAAAAGAAAATCAAATCTCAGCATGGAAAGTAAACTCTCCCAAATGGAGATCTGGAATCATGCTAATTCCTGAGATGTGTATGAATACGTAAGGTGTATACCTTTTTTAAAAGTCTCTGGGACCAACAGTTAGCACAATGGCTATGTTGCTGGACTCCCATGTAGCCGACCACGGTTTGAGTTCTGGATCCGGTAGCTTAAACTCATGCCAGGCGCATGTGCATGCATGCCCAAGATCCCGAGAAGAGAATGGAGGAGAAGGGATTGCAGCATGGCCATCTGCCCGGGGGGTGATTTCTTGCTTTCTATCTCTCTCTCTCTCTGTCTTTCTGACAAGCGCACACACACCCTATAGCAAAAAAAAAAAAAAAAAAAAAGTATCTTAGGCCAGTAGGTGATGTAATAGTTAAGGCGCTGGATTCCCATATGGCCAACCGCAGTTCAAGTCCTAGATCTGTGGCTTCAAACTCACGCCAGGTACATGTATGTGCGTGCTCAAGATCCCAGGAGGAGAATCAAGGAGAAGGGACTGTGGCATGGCCACTTGGGGGGTAATTTCCCACTTTTCCTCTCACTGTCTGTCTCTCTGTCGAATGCATGCAACCTAAGGCAAGAACCGCTACTCCCCCCTCAAAAAAGAACTGCTGCCTCTGAGCACCCCAGGAAGACCTTGGGCTTCTCTGGACCTGGTCTCTCAAAGTTGTGTTTACAGTAAACCGTGGTAATTATTATTTCTACAGAGCTCAGTTATTTCCATCATCACCTGTGTCCAAGACAGCAAGAGATGATGGAAAGATTTTCAGGGATCACACTGTGTTTCTTGAATCCAGTCTCAGACTTGGTAGTCTCTCTCCCTTCCTGCTTCTCCTTCACCTCCTCTTTCTCACTGTCAGCCTTATGAAACAAATTCTCAGAAGTAGAATCTCAGCTGTGAGCAGTCCCTGGACTTTGATGCCACTGTGTCGGCACTGCCCTGACTTCCATGTTGCACCTGCAGGGCAAATAACTCTCCAATGAAGTGTGTGTGTGTGTGTGTGTGTGTGTGTGTGTGTGTGTGTTTTGCATGCCTATACAACAGGCAGGAGCCCCACAAAGATAAATGTACTGATAACATTTAAGCCAAAAACATCACCCTTTTGCAGTCAAATCAGGTACTCTTACAATACCAAGTATTTGGGTTACAGAAACACTGCTGGTTACCTAGGGAAACCTAGGTATATCAAAGACCATTGTTTTCTCCCTATAGTCCCCAAAGTGAATAAAAGCCCTAAAGCTTACTGAGTTCAGTGAGCAGCCTGAGGCGCCACTCTGTCACAGAAGATTCCGAGATCCCAGAACACAAATGAGCAGAGTGTACCTTGAGAACAGTTTCTCGAACTCAGCACTATGGACATTTTGAGTCAGATTAGTTTTACTGTGTGGGGGTCCCATGCATGTAGGATGGTCAGTGCACTCTGGTCTCTCTCCACTAAACGCCAGAAGCACCTCCTCTCAGCAGTTGTGACAACCAAAAATGGCTCCACGCATTGCCAAACTCACCTCTGGTTGAGACTCATTACTCTAGGATAAGTAGTTAAGACAACCTGAATTCCCTAAAAAGTTGCTTAGATCTCCCTGACCATGTAATGTGGGACTAAGATGAGGTACAGACAGAAAGCCAGGATCAGAAACAGCATTACCTTCAGAGGCCAAGAAACTACTACAAAAGAGCCAGGTCAGAAAGTCTGGGTCTAGGGAACCAGCAGTTAGTGTAATGGCTATGTCACTGGACTCCCACGTAGTCGACCGCGGTTTGCGTCCCGAACCCGGTGGCTTAAAACTCACGCTGGGCGCATGTGCATGTGTGCCCAAGATCCCGAGAGGAGAATGGGGGAGAAGGGATTGTGGCGTGACCATCCCCCCTGGGGGGTGATTTCTCGCTTTCTGTCTCTATGTCTCTCTCTGTCTGTCTGGCAAGCGCACACGCCCTATAGCGAAAACCTCTCCAAAAAAAAAAAAAAAAAAAAGAAAGTCTGGGTCTAAACAAGAGGAGAAGGAAGACTGGAGAATATATATTCCATTTAAAGGAGCAATCAGGGCCAGCAAGTGGCATAGTGGTTAAGGTTCTGGACTCCCATGTGGCCGACCATAGTTCAAGTTCTGGACCAGTGGCTTGAAACTCAGACGGAAGCATGTACATGTGTGTCCCAAATCCCAAAAGAAAAGAGGATAAGGGACTATGGCATGGGCCATGCCCCCCTAGGGAGTGAGGTTCTCACTTTCTGCTGGCATATAGCATGTGTTCTGTTATTATTCAAATGATGCTACTGTGGGGACAGCTGTACATAAATCATTTTTTAGAGTTTCTACATATGTCTTGGGATAGAGTTATACAAGGGAATCCCTGTATCTAAGGAAATAAATTGTTTTAAGATTTTTTTAAAATTTTATCTATTATTATTATTTTTTAAAATTTGGCCAGAGAGAGAAAAGTGGAAACCACGCCACCAGGACAGGGACTCAAACAACTGTCAGCCATGTAGACGTCCAGAGCTTTAACCACCATGCCACCTGCTAGCCCGTTTTAAGATTCTTCATGTGGAGCCTGCCTGTAGCATGGTGGTTGGGGTGGCTAAATGCCATATGACTGACTGTATGGTTCAAGTCCTAGCATGTTGAAAAACATGCCAGACGTGTGTGTACATGCCCAAAATCCCAAAAGGAGGGAATGATGGAGGAGAAGAGATTGCACCGTGACCCTATGACTTATGGGGGGTGTTTTTCACTTACCTTCTCTCTCTCTCTCTCTCTCTCTCTCTCTCTCTCTCTCTCTTTCTCTCTCTCAGGTGAGCACATATGTCCTATTCTAAATAAAAAAAAAAAAAAAGTACTCATCTTTTAGGCCAGCCCAATAGGTGTTCCAAGCATCCCTTCTTGGAACAGTGGTTAAGCACTTTGCATTGAGAGCTGGATCCCACATGGTGGACCATAGTTTGAATTCTGGCCCTGGTGGCTTGAGAAACATGTCAGGCATGTGTATGTGCATGTTCTAAATCCTGATAGTTTGGAGAAGTAAATACATAAAAGACTGTAGCATAATTACACCCTAATAGGTGGTTCGTTCTTACTCGCTCTCTCTCTCTGATAAGCACACATACCTTCTGTTAATTTTTTTTAAAGTACTCATCCCTTGATAGTAGATGACTAGTAATTTGAAACTAATTTATTTTTTCCTTAATGAGCATGCTTTATAATCACACAATTACTTCCTTTTTTAGAAACCTGTTAGGCCCAAGTCTATCAGACATATAGCTAAGGACCTACCTTCCCTTCTCCTAGGATATGTTACCCCCTCATTGTTCCAAGGAATATGGAGGATTCCTTTTATTATTTGTCTCTGACAAATACCTTAAAGCCAAGAGCCACAGTGTACTGTACAATCCTTTATTGCTAGCTCCAAAGTACTGAGTCTATTTTTAACCCTGTGGGTAAACTACATATACTGCCAAAGCTTTTGCAAGCAGAGATACAGAAGAACAGAGTATAATTAAGTGTCTCTGGTAGAAAAGTGCTAAGGAACACAGGGAATTCCGGAACACACTTCCTAGCAATTTTCTCCTCGTTCAGTGATTTGACATAGAATCCCTCCTTGCTACCCCATAAGAGAAAAAAGGAAATAAGGAAGGATCCATCAGGCTCTCTCAGAAACCCAAAGTGGGGTAGAAGCCACCTTCCTCTCATCGGCTGCAGGCAGAACTTGTTTACAAAGGCAGTGTAAAAATATCTGAAACACCAATGGGAAAAAGCCATTTTGGTCTGGTGCCTGCTGCTTAAAACAAGCTGTGAAACCGGCAGTAGCAGAAAGGAAGGGTCCTGTGGATCTGAGGGATAACACCTTCAGAGCCCCCCAATCCCTAGTCTAGAGAAAAAAAACCTATTTCTTCACTAATATCTTTAAACAGTTTTAAGATGAAAAGTTGGGAAGTAAAATAACTTCTATTTTTGAGTAGCAGAACACTGATGTTGTTTCTGGGTTAAGTCACTACTAGTGATACTGACCTCAATCAAAACACCTGATAAGACAAATAATAAGACATGCACCAACCTGTCACATAGACTAGGGAACAGAACTCAGGGGCAGCCAGGAGTAGGAAGAATGTGAGACACTCAAAGCCAGATTCAAACTTTTCCCATCTCCCTCCTACACACTTACTTATCTGTCAGGATCAAATGACTTTAGTGAAATTATTCCTCCAAAAGGTAAGATGCCTCCCTCTCCCAAAAAGAACAAAACAGGCTGATCAACTACATAAGGTATTGGGAGCAGCAGATGGTGTAATGGTTACACCACTGGGCTCCCATATAGTCTACCACGGTTCAAGTCCTGGACCCAGCAGCTTAAAACTCACACAGGGTGCATGTACATGCATGCCCAAGATCCCAAGAGGAGAATGGAAGAGAAGGGATTGTGGCATGGCCATCCCTTCCGGGAGGGTGCTTTCTCACTTTCTGTCTCCCCATCTCTCTGGCAAGCACAGGTGCCCTATAGCAAAAATCTCTCTGTAAATAAATAAATAATAAATAAATAATATAAATTTTATATATATATATATGGCATCAATATAGGTATCTTTCGGCAGCCCCACTACCACCACACACCCTCCCACATGCAGTCCCTAGACTTACACACACAAGCAGCAGCGAGAAGACGGCAGGCCAGGTACGGGGGATCACAGGTGGGGAAGGAGGGCTGGATGATGTAGTTGGCGAAGGTGATGGCGATGATGGCCTGACTGGTGGGCTCAACAATTAGCAGTGAGGCCCACAGGCGGATGAAGGCAATAAAGCCCCCGAAGGCCTCTAGAATATAAGCATAGCTGGCCCCTGACTTGGTGATAGTGGTCCCCAGCTCCGCATAGCATAGGGCACCCACAACGGAGAAAAGCCCACCAATGGCCCACACGACCAGGGACAACCCGTAAGAGGTAGTGTACACCAGTACACCCTTGGGTGAGACAAAGATTCCTGAGCCAATCATGTTGCCCACCACCAAGCTGACCCCATTCAGCAAGGAGATTTCCTTCTTCAGCTGCATAGTTTCCGAGGACGCTTGAGGTGGTGGGCTGACATCTTCTTCAACCCTGGGCTGGCCAGCCTCAGGGATAAGATGGTAGTTGGGTGTGAGGCTCCCAAGCTCCCTGGCTTCCATGGCAAATGGATCCTGAACACCTGTGTATACTGTGGCCTGGCAAAGAATACAAGTATGTCAGTCTAGGGCAAGAGGTGGTAAGAAGGATTTGGTTTAGACTTGCAAGGCTAGCAGATTTCCCTGCCCACCTCCTGCTTGGGGACAGCATGTCACACACACAGCCTTAAATACGATAGGCATGTCTCAGTTCCCACCACAGGACACAGGGAAATAGAGACAGGCAGACCTCCACTGTTCCCAAGAAAGACAACATGAGAGCTCAGGCATGATCTGATGCGACCTCTGAGAGTTACCTACCCATCTTGCCATCTGGAGTAGGCTGGCATTAGGTTTCTTCAGAGCATGAATTCCCCTATGCTACAGGTTTTGGTTTGTTCTTTTTTTTTTTTTTTTTTTTGGTGGGGGGAGGTTTTGGTACAGGGTGCGTACACTTGCCAAAAAGACAGAAACGGAAAGCGAGAAATCACTCCCGGAGGGGTGGGGGGGAGTGGCCACACCCCAATCCCTTCTCTCCTCAGGATCTTGGGCACACATGCACACGTGCCTGGTGTGAGTTTAAGCCACTGGGTCCGGGACTCGAACTGCAGTCAACTACATGGGAGTCCAGCAACATAGCCATTACACCAACTGCTTGTCCAGGTTTTGCTTTGTTCTCACCAGTTTAAAACCCATGAACCTGCCCTGTGGGGAAGACCAGAGTCCCTACAACCAGGTACACAGCACTCACCAGCCTGACAGACCTCTCACTGTCCAGATCCAGGTAATCCTGCCCAGGATCACCCAGACATAAACAGAGACTTCTGCTGAGTCCAGCCATGTGTGGAGAGGTCAACAGCTACTCTCAGGTTGACAGGGAACATAAACAGGTGGTGGGGAGGACAAGGAAGATGCTAAGATAAGAGCATATGGCTACTGCAGAGACTAGACCAAGGAGTGGACCCTCATGAAAAGAGACACCCACATGACCCACGTGTCACCGCTGCGCAACACCCACCTCACTCTCTACCTTGCTGCTTATCTATTCAATGCCTTTCTTTTCCCAAAGTATCCAGAAGAGAAGAATTATAGTAAGACAAACAGAAAAAGGACAACCTAGGGGCACCCTAACCTGGGGATAATCTCTTGTTGGTTTATTTGCTTTCCTCCTCAGCATTCCCCTCACTACCATGTGGGGTTGCAAAGAGATTCTTCCAGAACAGCACCAAGGGGGTCTTGCCACCCATCCAAAGCTATATGACTTCTCATATCCACAATCTGGTACTGAAAGGCATCCCATAGAGCCATGGCATGCATATGTGCGCGTGCACACACACAGACGCACACACACACTTACTTTGGATTAGAGTTAAACCAATCCAGACCTCAAGTTAGACTCCACATTAACCCACCTATGATGAATCCAGAATTTGTCAAAGGAAGACAAACACCATCCTGACCCTAGTCCCAGAAGGGCCTTCCCCATCCCCCAGTTCCTGTATAAGTCATGCTTCAGATCCCCAATGCCACCTCATCTGCTAGAGAAAGGAATCTGGTAGGCCATTTGATTCTCACACAGGAGTCAGTCTGTTAAGATCATAATTCCTGGGGCTGGCAAGTGGCGTAGTAGTTAAAGGGGCTGGATTCCCACATGGCTGACTGGAATTCAAGTCCAGGACCGAGCGGCTTGCTTTCTCGCTTTCCTTTCTCTCTCTCTCTCTCTCTCTCTCTGGTTAAATTAAAAAATTATAATAACAAACAGAAATAAATAAATAAATAAGATCATAATTTCTGGGAGTCAGCAGGTGGCGTGGTGGTTAAGGTGCAGGATATTCCCACATGCCTGACCATGGTTCGAATCCTGGGCCTGGTGGCTTACTTTCTCACTTTCCCTCTCTCTCTGTGTTTCTCTCTGGTCAAATTAAAATAAATGAATGAATAAATAAGATTAAATATTTTATTTTTAAAAAGATAATTCATAGGGTTAACAATGGGATCAGCACATCATTTTTTCAGAAGCCTGTCATCTACTCTCCAAAGACAAATGTGCCAAAGCAAGCAAGGGTACCACAGTCACCCAAGAATGAGTGATTCTGAGCACAAACTGATCTCCACAGGTCTCACTCCAAATTCCCACCTTACTTATCCCAGCTCCCTTCCAGAAACTGAACCCAAGTGAAAAGGCTTCTCTGGGACAGTAGTAAGCCTCCCCCAATCCCAGAGGAGTTGAGCCAACCAGCTATGCTTAAATGAGGCTGGGCTTTAGGCAGCACTTTTCCTCTTACTCTTGGCACCCAGTCATGCAGGTTTCCCCATGCTGGCACATAAGAACATATTTGTTTTCACATGTCTGTCACGTGAGCCTAGGCATCCATGGGAACAAAACCTGTAAAGAGCTGGGAAGCCTATATTTTTTCATAAAAGTCAGGTAGAAAGAGACCAAGTTTGCCCCCTTTTTTGAAGAATTATTTTATTTAACTTTATCTATTTATGTATTTATTTATTTATTTTAATTTGACTAGAGGGGGACAGAGTGAGAGAGAGAGGGAAAGTGAGAAAGCAAGCTGCCATGGGAACCAGCAGTTAGCGTAATGGCTATGTCGCTGGACTCCCACGTAGTTGACCGCGGTTCGTGTCCCGGACGCGGTGGCTTAAAACTCACACCGGGCGTGTGTACGTGCGTGCCCAAGATCTCGAGAGGAGAACGGAGGAGAAGGGATTGCGGCGTGGCCATCCCCCCTGGGGGGTGATTTCTCGCTTTCTGTCTCTCTGTTTCTCTCTGTCTATCTGGCGAGCGCACACGCCCTAAAGCAAAAAACTTCTCAAAAAAAAAAAAAATGTGAGGCCTCCTCAGCAGGGTTAACATTGCTGAAAGACATTCTAGAAGCAAGAAAAAGAGGGAGGAAAGAAAATAAGTAAACTCATTTTACTAGAAGATAAAATCTAGTATAAAAGGGGAATGCTTCTCTTCCAGCTTCTATTTATGATACAGAAAGCTGGAAAAGGCATCCATCACAGTTTTTGTCCTGTCTGCAGTTGTATATGTAATCACCAAACTGCTACAATAATGCTCACATCTGTGGGGCCAGCAGGTAGCATGGTAGCTAGGGGCACTGGACTCCCACATGGCTGACTGTGCTTTGAGTCCCAAACCTGGTGGCTTTGTTTCTCATTTTCTCTCTCTCTCTCTCTCACTCTCTCACTCTGTCCCTCTCTGGTCAAATTAAAATAAATTAATTAAATAAAATGAAGTTAAATAAAATAATTCTTTAAAAAAATGTTCACAGGGACCAGCAGTTAGTGTAATAGCTATGTCACTGAACTCCCATGTAGCCGACCGCAGTTTGAGTTCCGGACCCGGTGGCTTAAACTCACGCCGGGTGCGTGTGCGTGCATGCCCAAGACCCCGAGAGGAGAATGGAGGAGAAGAGATTGCAACGTGGCCATCCCCTCTGGGGGGTGATTTCTTGTGCTTTCTGTCTCTCTGTCTCTCTCTGTCTTTCTGGCAAGCGCACGTGCCCTATAGCAAAAAACTCTCAAAAAAAAAAATGTTCACACCTGTTACTACAAATTCAAAACCAGGAAAGACCTCAGAGAATTTACTTTAGGTCAGGGTTGGGCTGCTTATAAAAACGCTGCACCCACACACAACTGGGCAAGTTCCAGGTACAATGTTTAACAAATTACTAAAGGTCAAGTTAGAGGTTAGCAAGAGCCATAGAGACTCAGAAGTTTTCTTCCATGGTCTTTAGCAGATACTCACAAGAAACAGTTGGCAGAAAGCAAGAGAAAGCCTCTCTTGGTAGTGCTGGCCTGGGCAAGGAAAAATACAAAGGCCCACCTAGCCCTTCTCCTCTAAAGATAAAATTTGGGGCCAGCAGCTGGTGTGTGGGTTAAGGTGCTAGACTCCCACACGGCCAACTGTGGTTTGAGTCCTAGACACAGAGGTTTGAAATACACTGGGCACATGTGAGTAATGCCCAAAATCCAGAAAAGAGAATGGAGGAGAAGGGACTTCAATGCGGCCATCCTCCAGGGGATGATTTTTTGCTAACCCCCCTCTCCCCAGCAAGTACATGTTCTCTATGGCAAAAACCTAAAAAAAAAAAAAAAAAAGAAGAAGAAAAAATTTAGGGGACTAGCAGGTGACATGGTAGTTAAGGTACTGGATACTCCCACATGGCAGATCATAGTTCGAGTCTATACGGACCTGAAGGCTTGCCTTCTCACTCTCCTTCTCTCTCTCTCTTTCTCTGTGTCTCGCTCTGGTCAAATAAATAAATATATATGTATATATATGAATGAATAAATAAAATTAAATAAATAATTCTAAAAAAATTTATTTAGGGAACCAGCAGTTAGCATAATGGCTATGTCACTGGACTCCCACGTAGTTGACCGTGGTTCGCATCCCGGACCCGGTGGCTTAAAACTCACACCGGGCGCATGTGCGTGCATGCCCAAGATCCCGAGAGAAGAATGGAGAAGGGACTGCAGCGTGACCATCCCCCCTGGGGGGTGATTTCTCTCTTTCTGTCTCTATGTCTCTCTCTGTCTGTCTGGCGAGCGCACACGCCCTATAGCGAAAATCTCTCCAAAAAAAAAAAAAATTATTTAAAAAAGGAGAAACTTTTTAAATAATTATTTATTTAATTCCATTTGTTACTATTTAAAAAAATAATTATTTAACTTTATTCACTGTCATTATTTTATTATTATTATTATTTTATTGAAGTTGACCAGAGAGATAGAAAGAGAGGAAAGTGAGAAAGCAAACTGCCAGGTCTGGGACTCAAACCTCGGTCAGCCATATGGGAGTCCAGCCACCTTAATCACCACGCCGCCTGCCAGCACCATTGTTACTATTATTTTTTAATTTGAACAGATAGAGACAGAGAGAGAGAAAGTGAAAGTGAGAAAGCAAGCTGCCAAGTCCAAAACTCGAACTGTAGCTGGCCATGTGGGAATCCAGCGCCTTTATCCACCACGCCACCAGCCGGCCCCCAGAAGAAGAAATTTAAACTCCTGAGGAAAGGGCAGCAAACTGTCATCCCCAAGATAGCTGGGGCAGGAGGTAGGGGAGGAAAAAACCCTTTATGTCTTGGGGACAAACAGTAAGTTCTGGTCAAAACCATTACAGGGGCCACCAGGTGGTATGGTGGTTAAGGGTGCTAGACTCCCACATGTCCAACCACAGTTCAAGTCCTGGACCTAGTAGTTTGCTTTCTCACAGTCTTGCCCCCCCTACCCCCTGCACTCTGTTCCTCTACAGTCAAACTAAAATAAAATAAATAAAGATAAACTAATTCCTAAAATGAAAAATTACAGGTATCCTACCTTTTATGGGGAATGATTACAGGATCACCTAGAAAGACCAACCTCTGAGACCCAAGGAAACGGGGCTTGCCTAAGACTGACACTGAACCATGACACTTTCTCTCTCTCTCTCTCTGGTCAAATTAAAATAAATGAATGAATAAATAAAATTAAATAAATAGGGACCAGCAGTTGGCATAACGGCTTTGTCGTTGGACTTCCATGTAGTTGACCGCAGTTCAAGTCCCGGATCTGGTGGCTTAAACTCATGCCAGGCACATGTGTGTGCGCATGCCTAAGATCCCAAGAGGAGAATGAAGGAGAAGGGATTGTGGCGTGGCCATCCCCCCTGGGGGGTGATTTCTTGCTTTGTGTCTCCGACTCTCTCTGCCTTTCTGGTGAGCACATGCGCCCTATAGCAAAAACCTCTCCAAAAAATAAATAAATAAATAAATAAGTGATTCTTTAAAAGAAAAAAAAAAAAAAAAGACATAATGGAGCCAGCAGGTGGTGTAGTAGTTAAGGGTGCTGGACTCCCACATGGCCGACCACAGTTCGAGTCCTGGTGACTTTCTCACTTTCTGTCTCTCTCATACTCTCTCACTCTGTCCCTCTCTGGTCAAATTAAAATAAATTAATTAAATTAAATAATTCTTTAAATAAACAAATAAATATAAAGACATTAATTAGTTATAGGTAAAAGAATGAAAAATATAAACCATGTAAACATTAACTAAAAGATAGCTGGGGCGGGCAAGTGACATGGTGGTTTAAGGGCACTGGAATCCCATATGGCCGACCATAGTTAGAGTCCTGGACCTGGCGGCTTGCTTTCTCACTTTCACTTTCTCTCTTTCTCTCTCTCTCTCTCACTCTGTTCCTCTCTGGTCAAATAAATAAATA